GAAAGAAGGGCAAGGGTGGCTGAATTGAATGAGGTCTTGGGGAGAGAGTAGGATAAAGGGCTGTTTTTCTGAGAGTTGAGAGGGAAGAAGAAGAATTGTTTGCCACAGTGGCCATGGCCGAACTAACTTCGACTTGGGTAAGGTTGTGGTGGATGGCCAAGACCCCCTGCGCCTTGTATTGTTTTCGCGCACAAAATGAGAAAAAACGAACCGTTAGGGCTCTCTTTAATTATTTTTTTAACTGGAACCTTGCATTTTCCGGGTGCAAGGGCAAGCGTTTGCCTTGAAAAGTATACATTTCTTTCCGCCACCATAATCCTCCATTCACCTTCATTATAGCTAATTCAGTAAAAGAAGCCACCTATGATCATAATTAATTTGATTATAGGATGATGGACTTGTAGTTTTAATCAGCTGCTTCATTACATATCTCCCGAGTCGGAAACAGAAATAGAACCAAAAATGACGATGATTGTTTTCCTTCCATGGTAGCGAGAGGCTGAAACCTGAATGCAGCAGCTTTAGCCTATAATAAGTAGACATCCCAATCTCAAGTAAAGCAGAGTCAGTCAATTCTGAATAACGTAAAAACGCAGATCTCAACATACAAAGCAATCTTCCGTCCATCCAGGACTTAAAAATTCTATTCCCACTTCGACTTAAAAATTTTTGAATTCCTTTCTTCCTTCCTAACTTTGTGATGAATTCAGAAGGTAGTAAAACGTCCAAATCCATCTCAAAGTTAAACCTAAACTCAAAGCTGCCAACGCTGACAATTCTTAGGCGAACAACTGCAGCACAGCAACAACGCTGGGTTGGCACTGTGCTCGAATCCTGAAGTAGTTGTCTCCTAACGAAAATAAGTGAAAGCTGTAGGTTTGTGTCCTCGAAAAAATTGGAAGTTCTATGTTTGTGTCCTAGAGTTTCAAAGCAGCCTGGGCCATTGCCAGAGCGCCCTCGTAACTTTGATTTCCACCAATAAAACCACTCATATGCACGAATACACAACCAGGAATGCCAGTCAACTTAGACAGTTCATCATCTCTGAGGCGCGCCATTGAGCTGGAAGGGCCTTCCGGCTCTCAAATCTATCAGGAGATACTGCCACTGCCTGCACTCCCAACTTTTACTTCTGTCATCCTACAAAAGCAAAGAAAACAATTTTAAACCAACAAGAACTCAAGGAAAATTCATGTCAAGAGGTTAATAAATTCAGATGAAAGTGATAACAAAACAAGATGCACCTAGGTACCTGGTAAAGGACGTATTTAATAGGAGGATCAATCTTCATCTCCGCCTCAAGCTCAAACAAATGAAGCTTCCACTATGGGACAACACAATGCCAAATAAAAATTTCTCAGCTTGGAGCCCATATGCCATGGGTTATGTGAACAAATAACAAACTGATACTATGATAAGGTTCTAACACCCATAAATGTTTGAGGTATGTTTTGATAAAGTACCATGCGCAGTATCTCCCAGCAAAGAAATGGGTGTGTCATAGAATTTGTAATACTGGTGATACTATGAAAAACTTACATAAAAAAAAAAGACAAAAAAAATCTAACAGATAGAATTTGTAATAATAATGATAATTAAAACGTGTTTCAAAAAAAAAAAAGACGAAAAAGAATCTAACAAAAAGATGCCAAATCATCACGGTTCAATACAAGAATTTGAAAGTTTTCCCACCTTCAAATCAAATGTGACTTGCATGGCATACATATATAATGATGGTAGCTCACAAAATGTAACCAGAAAACAGGTATACATATTATTCGTTTCATAAAGACGGAAAACATGCATAACTGACACTAGGCAACAACAACCTATCTTGTCTCTCTTTAACTGTTAGTGACCATTCTCAACTGTAGAACAAAAGATATGCGCTATCCAGGACAAGTCTTCAAGAAATAACTGATTGCAAGTAAGTGCAGAGTAATAATGACAACAATCTAAATCAAGCACTTATGAGCTACAGAGTAATGAAAGATTGTAGATTTAAGGGAAAAAGCATTAAAAAGCTGCACTATCTTGCACAAAGTTTTCAAATTACTTACAGGGCAAAATCTCTTCAAGACATGATTTCTCCACGTGGATCAATATCTTGTCTTTCTGCAAGAGACTCAATGACAATTGCCCGAGCAGGTAACCATGATCTTACATGAAACCGTACACTCTGTGAATAAAAGGAAAGATTTGTTACCAGTTTAAACAAACAACTTCAGTGCAGCTAGTCAACTATTGGGCTATAAATCCTTCTATCCTTGTCAGATCAAAACCAGACTAATTAACTTCAAAATAAATGTGACAGTAGCCTACTCCCAAAAATCTTTAGCAAAGATTTAAATTGCAAAAAACTTAATCTTCCAAAAAATAGATAAAAAAACAATTAGGAAGCCTTACATCCAAAAACTCACTCCCAGCCAGAATCATTGCACGTTCAAAGGCTTCATTCTCTCTCTCAGATGACTGGTCAGGATCGGTCCAGTCCAAATTTAACCTTCCTACCCGAGAAGACAAGTGAGTATTGTTTACATACTTCGGGGCTGGTCTGTGTCGTATTGGTTAATTCCATTGTCTATTGCATCAATTGCCTGTGAAAGTTGAACAAAAATGTCAACACAATTGATCCAAGGAGAAATATCTCCTACCTGTGCAAACTGTCCCAAATGCCATTACAGACAGATGACATTTCATCACTTCATACATTTATCCGCCCCACCCCATTTCCATGAGAAACATATTTTTTCCAGGAGTACAATTGTAGCTAGGTAAAAAGTGTTGTAGAATCTACAGCAAGTCTTCATTTCCTTCCCACCTTTTACAAATTAATAGCCAGTCAATTATCCTTCATACTACTTTAAGAGATATAGATAATTAAACACAGGAACTAAATGTTTAAGCATTGCATTGACTAATTAATATTGTCCTCACACTTCGTTCAGCACAAAGATTTCTTCTTAAATAAAAGAATCCTTTCGAGCAAGGTATCTTTTTCCCATAATATGATCTTGAATTATGGCTCAAAGAAGTTTGTTACTTTACCATCCAGTTCTACATTCAGAATTCTTGAGGTGCCATGATCACAAAGAGAACAATTATATCGTCAAATAACCGGGGAAGGGGGTTTAGACAGAGCACTTTGTCAGTACCTCCATGAAGCTCTTATAAACTGCTAAAAACAACCTTTGCACATCAAGATGTTGTTCCTCAACTCCAAGCTCTTTTGCGATAATCTCCTTTCCAAAGTGCTAATCAAATGCAATGCATCGTTACTTAATACTCTTAAGGATGTCACAGAGGATTCAAAAGATAGATCATGGAACTAAAATCTCTCAACTGATAGAGAAAGTCTATTCAACTGCCAAATGAGACATAGAAGCATACGTCGTCAGACATAATTAAGTAAATATATATTTTCTACCTTGTAGACGAGACCAGCACTACTGAGCTTTGTATTAAAGCCATGCCCAAAAACCTCCTCAAAACCTTTTTGGTGATGATCATACCGATCGCTGACTTGGATCGTAAATCCCACCAACATCAAGAACAGCATCAAGCTTTTCCAAAACCTTCAATTCAAGCATTTCATCAAACACATTAACTACACGTCAGATGCACAAACCTATACCCACCGAAAACTGCGGCGCCTGTAGAACCTGCACGAAGTGTGAAAGAGATGACAATAATGACCTGAGGATCACGAGAACGGACGATTTGGGCATCGGAGAATTTTCTGGTAAGGCGAATCATGAAGCAGCCGAGAGCTTCGTCACAGTGGAAGCTACCATTGTGAGTTCCCACTCGCTTTGTTGTTGTGAGGTTGCCGGAAGCTGTGGGTGAAGAAGAAGCGGTGCTGAAGGTGGCTGCCATGAGAGGGAAGATGAAGTTGTTGCGTTGCGTGTGAAAGTTGAAGTTGAAAAGCGGCTTCTTGCTGAGAAGAACTCTTTGAACTACTGCCGCCAACATGCCTGTCGCTATTTCTAACCGCCCAGATCCAAACAGCTCCGGATCCTTTTTATAATAATAAATAATAATTAGAGTATTATTATTCAATTTAAACCAATGTCTCGTTTGTATGGTCACCTTACTTGTAATTGTAATAAACCTCCAAAATCCTCGAAAATTTCCTCCCCTCCCCCTTCTGCAAATGAAAAAACTCATATCATTTTTCCCATAGAATACAAATTGCTAATTATATCTTTCTTATAAATTTCTCTTTTAGTTTATCCACACATACGGTGAATTATTTTTCTTAAAATCAGAATTCACGTCAAGATAACTATCTATAAATATTTTTTACTTTTAACTATTTGAACATCTGTTTTTTCGCATAATTATCTCTAAACATTATAGCTATCATTATGGAATTATTTTATAAAATATTTAAAACATTAAAAATTGATTTAATAATGAAAAATTATACTATAAAACATATTATCATAAATACTATTTATTTTTTTTATTGCACGCATGTCGAGTCTGTGTTTAGCACCAGTAAAAAAATAAAATGGGTACATGGTAGTAAAGATAGCATTTGCCAACTCCGTTATACGTAGGAGCGTTCACGAATCAATCGTGAGCAGCTCGAGTACGAGTTCGACTCGAACTCGTACTAAAAAATATTAAACTCGTTAGTCGAACTCGTATTAAAAAATATTAAACTCGTTGTCTCGCGAGTTCAATTATATATATATATTTTTTATTTTTTATTTTAATAGTAAAATTATACATATATTTTAATATTTTATTATTTATTAAAATTATTATTTTATTTATTGTTAAAAATAAATTTATTATTACTTTTTTAATTTTTAAGTTCGAGCTCGAGTTCGAATTCCATAAAATTAACTGGAGGCTCGCTCGATTACGCCAAATTTCGGCTCGATTCCGCTCGTCTCCCGTAGTTATAAGGAACAAAATGGTAATTTTACGTAGATGGAGAGCAAGGCTGGATAAAAGCCCAAAGCGAAGATTTTTTTTTTGGAGCAGTCTCGAGGCCCTTTGCTTTTTCCCTTGCGGATTAGATGGGTTCGTCTTCATCACCCATCGCTTCAGCACCCAATTTTTCGTCAATCCCATTTCCAAACCCCAGAATCAGAATTCACGTCTCCTACCAATACAATCAGAAATTTCAAGTCACTAATAAAAAGTTGTTCTCAAACGCGGCAGCGGTGTTAGTTGCAGCACCAACAAGACCAAGAAGACTAACAAGGTTACAAGTAAATCTCGTTAAATGCAGCAGCAGCAGCAACGGGAATCAGAATGAAACGGGTAGCAGTCTCGAGGATATACTATCAGGTATGGTGGATGAGAGAGTAGAACAACTGTTCAACAAAGAGGAGAACCGGGTTTTACTGGATGGGTTGGAGAAAGCAACCCACAGAGTTGAAATGGCCAAGAAACAGTTGGCTGAGATTCAAAGACAAGAACTCGAGGCTAAGCTCCTGAGGGATTATGTTAACAAGCTCCAATCCACTACTTCCCAGGTATTTTTCTTCTTTCTTTAACGTTTTCTCTCTCCTCCCGATTCCTAATACAATTTCTGCATTATTTTGGTCGGCAAATCATTTCCGACCTTATTGGAAGCTCTGCTGGTAAACGCTATCGAATTGCTCTGTGGATGTTGTGCATGCTCATTATATCACCTGTACCTCTTGTCAATGGTGAAGACCTTTGTCTTATTGCTTGACCTTTGTCTTATTGCTTTGTAACTTGAACAGCTATTCATACTCTCACGCAAGGTATGCACCACCAAAAACAGTAGTGCTTTTGTTAATAGTTAATACTAGTAGTCTGCTATTTTTGTTATAGGAGGAGAAGCATAGATGGGTGTAGCATGGGACGTGCAAAGTGAGGGTTCTTTAAGAGCTGATTTGTGATCTAAATGGTCTAATCGCTGCATACCTAGCTAGTTGTAGCATTTTATTTCTATCTAATTTACTTGACAAGGCTAGCATAGGAGATATTTTGTCAACCAAAGCATCATTTTCTTGACAATCCTGTGCCCATGCCAATGTTTGAGCCTTGCTTTAGCTCCAATTCCATATGACACTCTACTTCGATTTGCATGCTGAAATGTGCTTGAGATGTGATTTTTAGCTCGATATACTGAGTGGAAATTAGTTGAAGATTGCAGAATGTCAAAAAGAGATTTTAGATGCAAAAGCAATGGTTGAAGAGGCAGAGCGTGCTTTAATTGGTGGTAGTGGCGGGGAGGAAGATTCTTTCACTGCAGGGAAAATTCAATCAGTTGACAGAAATGAAGAGAGACTAGAATCTGTAAAAGCGGCTTCAATATCTGCCATAGTTGGCACCTTGGCAGGGCTGCCCTTATCCTTAACTCGAATAACTGCCATCTCTGACCTAATACTCCCTCTAGGAATTACCTGTGTTAGCTGTGCTTTATTTGGAGTAACCTTCCGGTATGCAGTAAGAAGAAATTTGGACGATATTCATCTCAAGTCAGGAACATCTGCGGCTTTTGGCGTTGTCAAAGGTATTACTGTTCAAAAATGGATGATAAGTGCTAATGTTTTGATAATTATGGGTGTGATATTTATGGCGTATTCCTCTGGTAATGTAGGCCTTGCAACATTGGGTGCCGAACCAGGTCTGGAGTTGGACACTGACAGCCTTTTGTCAACCGCCCTTGATGGTGCAGTTTATGTATCTGAAAATCTCTTGATTTTCTTTTTGGCCGGTATTGGTTTGGATTTCTGCATGAAAGTGGGGTTTCTAAGCCAATTTCCTATCGATACATCTATTTCCAACACCAATACATGAACAGGCCTCTCATATAATGGAAAATTTCTTTGGTTGCGGCGAACTTGCAAACCTGTATATTACCGCTGCTAACTTAGATTGGATGAACCAACAACATTGCTGCTTGGAAAAATCATGGATCAGTCGCTCTTGTTGTCAATCACACAAGCCCGCGCCAAGCTACGAAAGACTGAGGGCTGAAAAGCAAGGCTGCTGCCGCCAACCACTTGTTCCTTCAACTAGTGTAATTTATGCTTAAAACCCTCGATAGTACCTGCTACAGAGCGGATGAGCTGCACACAAACTTGATACAATTCAACTGCAGTGGCCTCTCTCTGAAGCTTCGCCTAAATTAAGAAACTGTTATGGAATCTTTACCGTAAAATGAAAGGCTGAAGAACCATTTGCAGTTTTTCTGTATTTCATTGTTCATGGTGCAGCACAAAGTCTATTGTGTGTATATATAAACGTCCATGTATCGTAAAACTTAAGGCTAAAGGCCTCAAGAGCTTTGACAGTGTGAAAACGAAGAGCAAAAGCGAGCTTTATTCACCTTCAAGTAAATAAATACTGACGGCATAACGAATCATTCTATGTTCTTGATGTTAATGACCTTTTCCCATATAGACTCAATCATGCTGTATTCTTGATGTTAATGACCTTTGCCATATAGACTCAGATACCCAAATCCCCCACAATAATGACTATTTTCTAGAGTATTAGCAGAAAATTTTGTGTGAAGTAAAAGGTGATTGAAAATTGTGTTTATGGAAAACACAAAAAAAATTTTGGGAAAAAATGGCAATTCAAGCAAGGCAAAAAATGTGTGAGGTAAGATTGTGGCGAGCATTCATAATTCACAGGACAGTTTACAAACAACAAACAAGTCTTCACTACTCAGCCTCCCCGTTTTGCAAAGCAAATCCTGTTTCCCTAGTGCTTCTTTCCCTCATCGGCCTCTCCATCTTCTGTATCCAAACTTGTGGAATCTTTGAACGGCTTTCTGCGAGGCTTTCCCGAGTTCCCTGTATTGTTTCTATATCGTTCTTGTGCAGATGGCAAGTTCATATTATCATTTTCTTTCTCCTTCATATCAAAAAAGTCCTTAACAGTCAGAGATGGGAAACTCAGACAAAAATAACATATCTTTCCATGTTGTTCACAGCTAACCTCATCGTCATTTGCAACATTTGATGGTAGATGCTTTGCAACTTCACTAAACAACTGAAACCCTTGAAAATCTCCATTTTTAATACTAGCTTCTAGCTGCCAAAATAGAAGAGAAATTCCCAATCAAGATTCCATCACAAAAGAATGATAAAGAGAACAGCGAATCTCAACCTGAACGTGAATGATGCACAATAAAATGCTGGCAATTGGCAGCCAGCTATCCTCAGGTGAAATTGACAAATTTGGCCTACAAATTGAAAGAAGTAGACCAGTTTAGCTTATGCTGACCACAAGCTAGCAAATTTTTGAATTCCTACTTCGAGACAGGTAGGCATCAAAATGCTATACATATTAGCATATGTATTTCAAATTTGGAGGAACAAACCATACATTTTGGTTCCAAAGCATTGCAGAAAAAGTAGAGATAAAGCAAGAAATAGACACCCTTTCTTAAACCAAAAGCTAAGTGATTCTATCAACATCTGAATACACACATAGACGTTATAGAAATGTTAAAGCGGAGTTGTAGAGCACCATATCTTGTTAAATGACCTTCACATTTTGGAGAGAGAGAGAGAGAGAGAGGGGACATCCTCAGTCCACCAGCACTATTAGGTAGAAAACTCAATACATGCTTAGGAAAACTTCATACCGCAGATAGTTGAATAAAACTTCACAGCTAACATGCTTAAGAATCAGGAAAAAGCAACCGCACATTCTTTTGTTACATGCTAAATCCCACAACTCAAAATAAGCAAAGGATATTTGAGCCTATATCTGCCTTGCCAAAATTTACAAGCAAGTAAATCAAGCACAAATTCCTCCTCCAAGAAATGGAAGGCCAGTTTAAACCATAAGATGCACCAGAATGTTCGCAGCAACAAAAAAAATAGAGAGTTTGCAGAGCAACTGAGCAAGTAGTAAAATCGTTTTCAATTGATCAAAGCAATCAACGTATGGTAAATAGTTTGCCTGCTCCAGAGCTCAGAATCAGAGAACGGATGCTAATAAGCATAAAAAGAATAGCAAGCTTAAAGTCAAAGAATCACCAACCTGACGTAAGGAGCCAAATACACAATAGCATAAACAGCGTAACGCCGCTTTCCAGTATCCAACGCATGCAAATAACCAGCTCTGCATATTGATAACACCCAACTGAAGGTGGGGAAAGAGAAAAGCGGAATAACAGAAACTAGCAAATCGAGAAATAAATCTAACTCTAGGAAAGGCTAAACAGCCAATTGAAATAAGGTATGAAGCTGATGATTCCCATGACCGCAAACCGCGCATCAGCTGAATCAATCACCGAGTCGCCCTCATCATCATCCTCCGGGGAAGAAGGGATTGGAAAGGCCAGTGAGTTGAGAATGCACGCGCCGATTGCGACCCAATAGGCGTGTCAGCTGAAAACTCTGCCCTGCACTTCCCATTTCTCACTTTTCTCTGGGCAACCAAAAAAAAAAACCCAAAATTTATTTCTTTAGTTCAAGTTAAGCAATAAAAGAAATACTCCTGCTCGGGAGTATGTTTTGGTGCTAACGATTTACACTGGTTATTAATAGTGCAAGTTTACCGTGAGGAGCTTTAGGTGATGGCGATGGAGATTTATGGGGGTTTAAGGACCGAAAGGAGGGAGGGTTTAAGGGTGGAGAGTAAAGTAGGTGAGGAAGAAGGTGGAGCTGAGAGCGTTTGAGGAACCATTGATTGATACAGGGTGCTACTAGCATCTAAGCGTGCTATGCTAACTAACTGCTAAGGGGATCGATGGCAAGATTTGCAGTAGTAGCCAGTACCAGTACCAGTAGTAGGTGAAAATAGTCAAAATAAAATACTCCCTGCCTTCTTTTGTTTGGATGAACTTTGCAGAATGATCGGAGATTCTTTGATTCTTTTTTCTTTCGAAGAAAGTGCCATCTGCCAAAGTGCCATGGGCTTTTTGTGTACGGGCTGGACTAGGAATGGATCGTCTGATGGACTGGCCTTCTTTTCCTCATTCCTGCTAAGCTTTAGCATTTTTCCTTTTTCTTTTTCTTTTTTTTTGGTTTATCATTTTTCTGGAAATTCTGTCTATTCTTTGATAAGGGCGGGCTGGAAGACTAATTGTTTTGGTAGTAGCTTACTCTTAAGTCTCAAGTAAGTACTTATAATTTGATTCAACAGGAGCTTCATTCAAACACGGCATTTGACCGGGAGATGGGTCGAATGGTAAGAGGAAAGAATTTAAATGAAAATTTTCGGATTCGAAATCTTTAATTTAACACAAATCTAAAAAATAAGTTTTAAAAAAGTGATATACAAATAAATCAAGTTAGTAGGTTACCAAAAAAATAAATCAAGTTATCCAAATTCAAACAAATGAACAATCTTCAGCTAGTTCAAGCACAAAATCTACATAGTTAAATAAAAAATTAAACCAAACTTCAATAATCTAACTAAAGTTGAAAAATAACACCACTAATTTTGAAATGTCAAGACTCGATACCTTTTCTCAGTGCCAAATCTTTTTAAGATTTATGAACTCTTGCTCGAAATATAAAAACACATATCAATGCTTCATGCAGATAATTTCACAAATCTCCCTTGAAATTTTTGACAATTTTACTGCCATCTTCTAAAGTTTTAGAAATATCACTAATCTCTCTTAAAATTAATTTCTTGTAACCAATTAGCCCAATTCAAAAAAAAAAACAACAATACAAAAATGATTTCAATAGCATGAAGAATATTTCAGACAAAAAATGCCCCTCAATTTGACTTAGAATAAAAAAGAAATATTAGTTAAAAATAAACTAAATATGAAATGCATTTGACCAAATCAAACTTTTTGTTTATTGCAATAATATCATCGATTGGTTTGTTTGGATTGCTTCATATTTTCCCAATTTTATTTGCTTACATCATCTTTATAATTTCCAATACACCTTTTTATCTTTCCAATATCTTTTTATCTCACATACATCACATCACAAAAAGTGCTACAGAAAAATATCCCAAATAATCCCAAATAACTTACAATCCAAACAGACATCCTTAACGCCTGCTGGCGGCCTACAATATGTTACAGGAAGAGATAAGGAACAACCACAGAGAACCTATGGGTGAATAAAAGGAGAGAGGGAAGGGGGGAGGATGGTTAACATTGAGATGGCGGTCAATATACAAATTACAAACTCAAGCTCAGAGATAATCTATTAACAGAATTACAGGTTTGCGCGTTTCACAGAGAGAGATAAAATCTACAAACTGCACACAGCATACTCCCCCTTGGTTTTTTGCATTTCTTTTCCTCACCTTAACTGGTTCAAGAAATTTACGCCGAATTGAATCTGCATTCGGACCTTCCGCACAAATGAAAGAAGAAATAATATCCTTAAGAAGCCTACTATATACTTGTTTGTCATTTGGAAAGCTGGAATCTTCTTCTGTCAAAAATGTAATGTATCACGAGCAAGACTCCAGAAGCATTTATAGTAGCTGCCCTTTCTTCCTTGACCGGATGAAACTCAACTGAATTTACACGGCGTTAATTTACACTTGTAAAGATTCATTTACTTGTCAAGAATCAACTTCTCTTCTGTCCCCATCTCCTGGCCAGAACATGTTCATCCGCTGTTGCAACTGTCAGCAAGATGCAAATAATCAACACACACAACACTACAAAGATTCTGGCTCAGTTTTCTGGCTCTAAAAACTGTCTCTAGGAAAGGTGAGTGGAAGATGCCCGATAGTTAAAGCCATTGCAATGTGCTTTGCTTCGATTGAGGATGCATGAATAAGTTTCACCTTCAGGATTACGAAATGTTACCTACCTAATATCTAAATATGAATCCATCCTATTTGAACCAAGAACAGAAACAGAAATGCAACTGAAAAGATGCAATAAAAGCAAATATCTGCAAGAAAACTCACTTGAATGTACTTCAATTTTTCTGCCGTTAATTCATCAGTCAAGTCATTCATCCTGCAAATGAGTGAGAGACCAAGAGAGATGTAGATGAGCTTTGACAGAGAGCAAACTAAACAAACTCGTGAGAAAAATAGAAGTCCAAGGAAAGAGAGTTACCTAGCTTGAAGCTCACAGATTTTTGTAAGAAGTAAGCGTTCCCTTTCAGTAACAGCACCATCAACCTGTCAATTACTGAATTAGTTTGTCATACTAATCACACATCCTATAATAGCAAATGAAACGCAATTTGGTAGTGGATATTCTTCACCCAATTAACTGGTTAAAGAACTATATGAAACATCCTCATCAGTATCTTTTTATTTCAATGCCACAGATGAATTGACAAACACTGCCTCATAAGTTAACTTGGCAAGTTTTTATTTCCCTTCTTCATGTGAAAAGTATGTGAGATGGTTTCTTGGCCTGCAAAGGGCAGGTGAGGGTTGGCTAGGGCTGGCGATAGTAAAACGCTACAGCAAGGTACTGGAGAAACTATATGTCACTCACATTTCCATTATTCTCCGGATTGCGAGGCACTGGAGGCAACTTCCCATTTTGAGAAGCTGTAGAACATTAAGAGAATTTTATTAAACAACAAGCCATTTGCAAAATCAACTACATCGTAATGCTGCAATATTCTGCTCACCATCTGCTACCTCAGCTGATTGCAAGCTACTGAGCAAGTTCATAATAAGATCCTGAGAATATATAACAAAAACACACATAATTGAAACGGAAAGAAAAGTATCCATTAGCAACAATATGCTTTAACCATAATGCAGAAAAGCAGCTTGGCATTACACCAACCCAAAAGTAGTACTAACAAAAATAAACAAAAATGTCACAAGCAAACCAAAGGAAAATTTTCACCTGTTGAATTGATGTTTGCTGAAAAAGGTTTTGGAGGTGAGGCATCAAAATTGAAGCTGGCATACTGCTGTTGCCAATTTCTTTTGGCAAGTGATTGGTAGGCTGTGAAACAAATCAAACAAGCATCATCATCTGAGAACTTAACATAACAACAGAAAAGTCCTCATTTGAAGTACATAAAAGAAAGAATTGTTCATGACTGTTGATGCTACAAATTCAACCAGATTATAGACTAGTCTGGGATCTTTCCGCTTATTTCCCAAAACAGTTTAAATTAATAAAATCAAAATAAAATACACTTTACCCACCAGTTGCTTAGATTCAAATATCCAGTCTCCAACACTAGCGGACTTCCTCAAAGTGACCCCTGAAACAACATAAGCATCTTCATGAGAAAACCTATAATCAGCTTCTGCAGGAACATCAAGAAACAATTGTTGACCACTTACCTGAGAAGATCGTCGAGGAACTGTACATAATGCAATATCCTATCGTACACGATTAAGTCAGCACTGGTCACTCTATTAAACAAATTGTAGGAGAAACATGCGTTTACCTTTACAAGATCGACATTTTCAGACGTTACTGAAAACCGTCCTTTTATTTGCACCAGATTGGTCTTTGATTTGTCATCCAAAGATTCTCTAAACCCTAGAAATCAGAAAAATAGGTGATAAGAAAATTTCCAACATCAATTTCATGTCAACAGCAATCACTTGCATCAACAACAGTAAGTAAATCCTTACCTCCCGAGGATTTAATTGGAGCTGATAAACTGTTTGCTGAAGCACGATTTGGAAGATTTAAAGGGCCACTGAAGCTAGGTAATCTTCGTACTTGCTGAGCTTTCTCGACTGGCTGCTGGGTTTCATTCTCAGACCTGGTAAAGAACCACAAAAGAATTAAAAGGCAGAATCATGGCACCAGTATAACATAAAGCCAAAGTAGGCTAACTCAATCTTCAGCATAAAGCAAAAACTGCTGTTGCTCAAAACCTGGATCACTCTTTTCTCTCTTTCTTTTTCCTCAAATTCCATCTGCAGCAAAAAAAAATTCAAGGGTGGTGTCAAAGCAATTTTTTGGTCTAGTAAGGTCTGTGTACTTGCTAGTCCTTAACACAAGTTTTTTTAGGTTTCCCCTTCTTTGTAGTTTGGGAAAGAATATGTTATACAATTATTATCGTCTCCGGAAAAAAAAAAAAGAAAAAAAGACGTCCTTCTTTGCATTGCTTGCAACTTCCGGTCTTCAGAACAGCAGTTGAGATATTGAAAACGTTTTTACTGTGAAATACGTTGACAACAAATTTTCTTGTTGCTCTTGAGATTCTAGAAGTTTCAATCTTGGAAAGAGCCAGGTGCTATTTCGTATGGACATCGTGAAAAGGTTTTGAAGTGTTTAAAAACATGAAAGACAAACGGAAAGGGGAAACTATCCAAAGATGACAAGCAAGAGCTATTCTAATCTTCAAAGTTTGCGCCAAAGCAAATTTGTTCCCTAATATTTCCAGCTTGAAGCACATATAGGAGGATCAATGGGTGATTTTTTGTTTTCAATTTTCACTGGGATGGAGTTGTGTGACCTTTGTCAGAAATTTTGGTCTTACATTTTCTTTTAAAGGAAGGGAGAGAGAGAGAGAGAATAGAGGTCAAGACTGAAATTAAATTTAGGATGTTAGATGAATATCTTTGTATGTTTAATAATTTTTGTTTCTTTTTTTTTTAAGTTACACAAGTGTAGTTGTGTGAGTAATTAATCCTTAGTATTATTATTATTTTTTTAAATTTTAGGTAAGTGTTACAATACTACACGCATAAGAAATGAAAAAAAATTAGTCAATTTCAAATTGAAACATTAGGAGCCATGTTTGTTTTGGGACCAAAAATCAACCAAAATTGCATTTTCCCTGCATCTTGTATCCTTAAAGAAAGGCAATGCGCATCCGGGGAATCGAACCCCGGTCAGTACCGTGGGAGGGTACTATGATACCACTACACCAGATGCGCGACGTTGGTAACTTGAACCTCCAAATCTTGCTTGAACAAGTAAATGAAATAATCAGTAAAGCAACCTATTATTGGCGAGTACGAGGCCGGTGGGCAGTTCATAGTAAAGCGATGGGCGGTGGCGGTGCGAGAGTTTATGCTTTATTGTAGAAGAGACTGGAGCTGACCTGATGTGTATCTGAAAGTTGGTTATTAATTTCTCATGGTAGATGCTATGTGATGAAGTTTATCAATGATTTTTTCTTTTGGCAGATGATATGATATTTTATGAAGCTTATCAATGATTTTAGTAGTATTACTTCTTTTGGGTTTTTAGTCTTCTCTTTAAGTTGCATCTGATGTTTGGAATCGCAAATTTTATATACCCTCACAAATCCAGCACGCTTAGTGCTTGTGGTCACATAGATAATTGTTGATTAACTTGAAGAAGTTTCTGCAATCCGTTTCCCGTTTCTGCTTATTAGATTGGTCTGTTTCTCTTACAAGCATCCGCTTGTGGGTTTTTTTGATGCCCTGCTATCTGTAACATTTGTACCTTTTTGTTCTTGTGGGTTTTCACATATGAGAATTAACCACCCCTGTCTCATATATTGCTTTGACTCATTTGTTACTCCATGTGTTTTTGATGAACTTTGGATAGCAGTTTGAAATGATTGGTTATCAGCTATATTATCAGCCTTTTTTTTTTTTAAAAAAAAGGAAAAAGAAATGCAAGCTTTACTGCATACCCTTTCATCTTGAAAGGTAAATGTTATTTAATCAATGTAATTGCAATTGCAGGAGGAAAAATTCTGACCTTTAACTTGAGCTAAGAGGACTTGATGCTGTTTGTGTTGTTGTCCTGTATTGCATCATAGCCCATTTTGAAATGGGAATCCTTTGCTAAGCCACATTGAATTTTTGGTGCAATGGAGATGTGTTTTCTTGTATTGATGCATCCTGCAAATGTTTTCATTTAAATCACCTGCAGAATTTACTTGAGCACCATTTGCATTCATATTACAATTTATGCTACAATTCGGTTTCATATATTTCCATCCTTATAGTGATAACTCATACGGAAATACATTACAATTAAAATTAAAAGTAATTTGTTGACACAATGAATTGCTTCTTCTGCACATTTTCTCTGTCCTGAACTGTTCTCTGGAAAAAATTGTGGTGAGTGCATAAGAACTCCTCTCCTGTTGAGCTTTGGACAGCATACTCCTATGTTTTTCAATAGCAATAGTTTCTGGTGATCTAAGAGGAGCACTAGGGGCATGGTTGCGTATTAGAAAATAGTATCAAATTTCCTTACCTATGCGTTACATCCAGCAAAGTAGAAGGGTAGGCACATCAGTGGACTATGTACAGCCTTGCTCTATGCTCTTTTAAACTCTTGCATCTTCTATGCCAGTTTCCAGCCTGCCTATTCCTAGAAGCACCATAGCCTTCAATGGATATGAATTCCAGCTTTCTTTCTTCCTTCACAGTGATGTCCAGTGCATTGTTCTTGAGGAAATTAAAGTTCTCTGCTGTTATAATTTATAAACTTCTCTAGCAGTAACTGAAAACTGTTTCAGTTTCTTTGACTTCTTTCCTCACATTATGGGAATCTTGAAGATTACTTCCCGCTGGACTTTTGGCTGTGAACCAGGGGTCTTGTTTCTTGCTTATTGCTGATTTTATATTGGGATTTCCTGATATCCTGGTTCACTCCTCCTGATTCCACGTGTTGACCAGTTTGGTTACCAATGTTCTAGGTTAAGGTATACCATGCAGCTCTTGCCTTTTAAATCACAAAACTTTTTATTCAAGAGTTCAAACCTGACTTCAGGAGGATTAGTCCTATTCTACATCAATCAAGATATTGTCAACCAAGCTGTGTGTCTATAGAATTAGGTTGCTTTTCTTGCTATCAAGGTACAGATTTCTATTTAAAAACTTTCTTCCCACGTTACTCTTACTTTGCCCGTGGTTTCACTCTTCCCTGATGTAGCTATTAACAACCTTGGCAATATTTTGTAATACCAGTAACATGCTAGCAATATATTTCCCTTGTATATTTGTGAATTCTTTCAACATAGCTCAATTCAAGTTTCAGTCAGATGGGGAATCCAGGAAGGAGAGAAATAGCTATGGAATGGAGTATCTTTGCCTTCCAACTTTTATTAATTTACTTGTACATTTTTTTTTTGTGCAAGTTCTATTTCAACTTTGCTTTTCCAGGGTGTTCACTGTTTTTGAGTCGGTGTGTGGAGCATGTAGAGTTGTTGGCTACATTTAACTTTTTTTGGCTTGAAGCTCCAGTGATGAAGTTAGTCAGCTTTAGTTGTCGTTCCAATTGCTGAAGCTCTGTCATATTTCTAGAGCCACATGTAGAACAGAAGGGACAGCTGAGGAGCTGGCTTAACATTTTTCCTTTGGTCGCTACTTGCATTGCTTCAAGTATTGGAGTCAGTCGAAAGTTGTGAATTTTACTATTTCTGATAGCATGCTATGCTGCAAAAATCTCTCTCTCTCTCTCTCTCTAGTTTCTTTTAGTTTTCTGTCCACCATTGTTTTACTGTTTTCTTTTTTTTTTTTTTTCTGGTGTTGTTTACTTTGGCTAATGGAGGATCATAGGTGGGGCAAATTATGGAAAGGATGGAGGGCATCTGATATGGCCTCCTCATGTCCTTGCTTAATCGAAAACTGTAACGTGAACAGCAAGCACCCTTGAATTGGGATGGTGGATCAGTCAAAAGATAATTTAAGAGCGATTCTATCTCCTTCGGCTCTTTCATCACTTGTTCTGTTGATAAAACAAGTCAGTATCTTAATCGTTGCTTGAATGTTTCTACAGCTTGAACGCCAGCACATGTTTTGGCAGAGAGCCAGTGAGTGCACGCGCTGGATTTGCACTTTCTAAGTTGAAACTACCACTCGAGTCAAGCAAGCAAGAAGAATTTAACAGTGAACGTGGATGAAAATCGGTCAGTCAGGGGCATCATGCTGTGCAACCAAAATGTGTGGATTTAACAGTGCGTGGCCTCTTATTATGATTGGGATCGGCGTTCAATGAAATCGTATCACGTGCAAAGTGGGTATCACGTGCATAGCTTAAGATACTTGAGAGCCTTGACCAAAAGAGGATACCCTAATTGTCAATCGACTATCATTGTGAATGAAGTATCTACCCAATTAAAAGTTTCTCGTTGCCCTTATGTTTTCAGCTTTGGCAAAAAGAATAAATTCTTTTATTGCTGCCCTTGTTGTTTTCCTCGGACATGAATATAAGCATTGTACGACAAGTTGAAGAAAATGGCAAAAACGGCCCCTCAGTTGAGGTTATAAGTTTGGCTTTGATCGTTTTTCATCCAGCTCGGATGTTAATGTCGTATGTTCATCATAGTATCACCTTACTTCTGATCTTCTTTCCACGACAAACATGTACTTGAGTTGCATATGTATAGGTTCCCATTCAGAGTGGGAGATATGGGTTGAGTGGCCTGAGGAGATAATAATGTAAGTGAGAGAGGTACCGACTACCGAGCACTTCACTTGCATTAAAAAGAAGAAAAAGGTTCGAATCTAGAATTCTTCCTTTGTCGGCTTGGTAATTGGAATATGTCCGAAAAATAATAGTGAAGCCAGGATTGATATTTGATGCAAGATTTCAGGATACGAGGATCCTCACTAGCTGACATTGAAGCATTGTGCTTATCGAAACAAATCTAGTCAGGAGCTGCGTGTTGATTTTCAACTTTGATGTTGAACCTAAGTTACTGCGTATATTCCAACTGCCGGCCGTTCTTCCTGTCACCTTCTTCCTCTCCTCCGACTTTTCAGACCCCCCTTCCCCAACGAACAGTATATATTGAACGCAGACACCCAACAGTAGGGCCATGTCATCAGCAACACAATCATGGCTTACGCGAAGACAGCCGTTAACCGGCAAGAGGCGCTCTTGATCATAGTATTCGCTTTCTTGATTTCATTCTCGTCTATTATGGCTTCTACTGATGCTTTGGATTCATGTAAACCAACTGATTCAGGCCCTGTTGTGAAGACCACGCCTTTAGTTTCCTTTCTTGAGACTGTTCAACAAACGTCCCTCAAAACGTTTGGGCACAAAAACTTTGATCCCAAGCTTTACGTCGACGTGTCCTTGAAATACAATCTTAATACTACCGTGGAGGCTTTTAATAAGCTTTCAATTGCTGATAACGGGTCGGTTTCTGTTAGCGACTTGAATGATTTTTTAGCCCAATATTTGGAGGGTGCTGATGAGGATTTGGTGTATGCTGAGCCAGTGGACTTTGTTGCTGAGCCTCGAGATTTTCTACCCAATGTGGAGAACCCTGAGATGAGAGCTTGGGCATTGGAAGTCCATTCCCTCTGGAAGAATTTGAGCAGGAAAGTTTCTGACACGGTTCTGGAGAAGCCTGAATTGCATACTTTGCTGCCATTGCCTAAGCCTGTTATTATTCCAGGATCCAGGTTTCGAGAGGTTTATTACTGGGATTCTTACTGGGTAATCAGGTCAGTCTAATTTGTAAATTCCCTGTTCCATTTATTCATCAAGCTACAATCTTGTTTGTTTTGCTCTCTTGAGATTGTTGTGTCAACTATCCAGGGTAGAAGGAATTAATACAGTTGGAGCTTGGGATTTTGCTAGCTCCCTATTGGGTTCTTGGTTCTCTCAGAAATTATGAAAGAAGTATGGGTAGGCTGGTAATCAAGATTAGTTTTTGTTATCTTGGATTTCAAGCTGTGATGCCTATGGTTTAATACAGAGTTTAGGCCACAGTCAAGCCTACTGCATTCGAATATTTTTTCTTGTATTTTGACATGGAAGATCCATTCATTCTCAGATTCTTTAAAGGGGGGCAGGATGTCGTGAAAGACAAGGAGAAGAGAAGTTAGAATGAAACGCTCTTTCTAATATAGAAAGTCCTCTAACCATTAGGTTTTAATCAATTCGCTCACTATATTTAGGCTATTAGTGTGTATCTAAATGTGTCAAAGGCAGTCCTCATAGCTCTAATTTCTAAGGTCCCTAGTGCATCATTTATTTCAAGATTAAGGCAAATTCTATGGGATTAGAAGTACAGGAGCTGTGCCAATTCTGGGTGGGGAGTAATGTACAGATGTACCTTAAGAAAGGCAGCAGGATAGGTTGTTGTGAGCTATGCTAGCTCTGAGAGTAACTGTCCTAGTATGCTAGCTGCTTTCCTCATTTCCTCAAACTTAATTTCCTGCAGGTCTTTTACTTAGTTGCCTCGATGCTTGCCACAGTCATTGGTAATTTCAAGTAACCACTATGCTTGATTTACACCGTAACAAAAATTACTTGTTTAAAAATTCAATCATCCTGATCTTGCCTTGGTGAAAACTGAAATGCGGGTAAGTTGTCAAACTCATGAATGTCATTTCTGACTTGGCCGTGAGTCTTGATTCTTTACCAAATTTCCCTTTAAATTTTTTGATTCATTGACGTGGGTGCTTGCCTGTTTGGTATAACTTCATTTTGGAACATAATTCTATGGGAAATTTTTTGTGCCGAGCAGGGGCTTGCTGGCCAGTAAAATGTATGTCACGGCAAAAGGAATCGTGACCAACCTTATTTCCTTAATTGATGAATTCGGTTATGTACTTAATGGTGCAAGGGCATATTACACTAACAGGAGGTAAGCATTTTTATTAGTTTTCTTTATGCTGATTTTCTTCTGCAAACCTAGAAGATGATTTTCAGGTTGTAGTGAAGGAATCCGTGAACACTTTCTTTTTTGTCTAGCTGAATTGCTAGGTTTTACCAATCTGAACCTGCAAATTCATGATTTCTTTAGATGATGGGTTGCCAAGAATCAATCTTTTCTCGTGAATCATTCATACTTGTTTCGTAATGCTCATAGACAATTCCACAATGTGCTGCACATATTTTTGCCGCCTCTGCGAAGAGTACCATATTCTAAGGTAGCTAATTGGAGTCAAAGTTCAAAATTTTGGAACTATTTGTTCTGATATTTTGTCTTATAATGAAACATTTTTCAAATTATAGAAAATAATTAGAAGTGAACTTGATGAAAATGCCTACAGTTTTGGAATCAGACACGCTAATTGCTCATTTCTGGTGCTACGGACTTCATTGAACAATAGAAACTGTTGCTAATGAGCAATTCGTAGACTAATTAAAGTTTCTGTCTCGCTTGGCCTTTCTCCTCTTGGCACCTGCACTCATGCATTTATTATTTCTTAAGTTGGAGTACTATATTGAGTTTTTTCATTATGTTCTCCATGGCGAAGATGAAATAAAGCTACATGAATGACCTTTGCAGCCAGCCCCCACTCCTGAGTTCTATGATCTTTAACATATACAATCAAACAGGAGATGAGGAATTTATCAAAAGTTCCCTTCCTGCGCTGCTTAAGGAGTATGAGTTTTGGAATTCAGGTACCATGCAGCTCTTCAATCTCCTTTTTCATTTTTGTATTTTCTCTGGGTGCTCTGACTTTTCGGTTTATCCACCTTTCTGCTTCATGTTCTGTTTATATGTATTTAATTCTTTTGAAAGCTCTTTTCTCTGATTTTATATGATTAATATCCCCTTTTCTCTGCTTTTGTAACTACAGGAATACATAAGGTGTCCATTAAAGATGCTCAAGGAGAGATCCACAATTTAAGTCGGTACTATGCAATGTGGAATACTCCTAGGCCTGAATCTTCATCAATTGTATGAGCTGTTGAAGTCCTCTTGTCTAATCAGTTAAACATGCATTTATCGAGTTAATTATAGTTTGTTATAATTTGTGCTCATGACAACTTTTGATTTCACAGGACCAAGAAACAGCTTCAAGGCTTTCAAATGTTTGTGAGAAAACACAGCTGTACCGTGAACTGGCATCAGCAGCTGAATCTGGATGGGATTTCAGTACTAGATGGATGAGGTTTGATACCATTTCTTTTTTGTTTTAAGTATGAGGTATAATATCCTTTGAGGTTTAGTAATCTTTGTTCAAGTATCTTTTTTCAATAACTAATAGTCTTGTATGGTAATATGTTTCCTGACGGATTTTTCCCCCATGAATGTGCATCATGGATTATGGCAACTTGAGTGTCTGCACATGCTAGCTTCTTTTAAGGTCTTACCTTACAGAATTTGTTTATGAATGCTATTTGTTCCTCAAATGTGCATCTTGGACCAAAGCAACTCAAATTTTTGCTCATGCTGGTGTCGCCGAAGAGTTCAATTGATTGCAGTTTGATGCATATACTCGTGACATTCTAATTGGCTGACTGATGTGACTAAAAAATTCCTCTCTCCCTTCCCCGCAACATAGCTGATACCCTGAATCTTGAACCTAACTGAGGGCAAAATGTGAGCCTTCATTAGAAACACATAAAAGGAAGTATTCTAACCTCTGCTTCAGTAAGAGAGTCTGACCATTTTCATGGCTTGGTTCAGGAATGCATCTGATCTTACAACATTGTCTACAACATACATAGTTCCTGTGGATTTGAATTCATTCATTCTGAAGGTGATATATCAGCTCATTCCTTATGAATGATGTAGTGGAAAGTTATTTTCTTTAAATTTGGCAAGTAAATTTTATGGTCGGTGTCCAGATGGAACTTGACATAGCCTTTTTGGCAAATGTTACTGGAGAGAGTAGCATAGCTGCAAGATTTACAGAAGCTTCTGAAGCTAGGAAAAAGGCAATGAATGCAATACTTTGGAATGCAGAGAAGGGGCAGTGGTTTGATTACTGGCTTGCTGAGACCAATACTTCCAAGGTGACATGCTTATGCAAATTTGAGGACATTTTATGACTTATCTGACAACAATACAAGTTCTGAGGAATGATCGTCGGCTGCAGGATGCATATACCTGGGAAGCTTCAAACCAGAATCAGAAATCATTTGCATCAAACTTCATTCCCTTGTGGGTCAACTTGTTTCATTCAGGTTTCTGCTATACTGTCTCTCTTTTCTTTCCCGTATGCCATCTCTCTGCATTGAAACGCTTGTGTTAGACGTGAGCTGTGAGGTGAAGACGTAATTGGGTTTGCATATTTAGTCTGAGCTAGACGTGAGCTGTGAGCTGAAGCCATAATTGGATTTGCATAATTAGTCTGAGCTCCACCACATTGTCTTGATAGAAATATTTTAGTAATCCCAAAAGTTTCTGGTAAAAATTCAACTATCTAGTAAACCCCTTAAATATCTCTAGTTATGTTACTTTGCTGGGGACATACTCATTTACTTTGGGTTAAGTATACTAATAGCGATTCTCTTCCCTGGGTAATTGAAGACGCAATGATTATGGAGAAAGTCATTCAAAGTTTCCAAACTTCAGGCTTGCTTCGTCCTGCAGGGATCGCAACTTCTTTGACAAATACAGGACAACAATGGTACACAATTTCTGTTATGTCGATACACACTTGTATTAAGCTGATAGATTAAACTACTGCGTGAAGTTATAACCTAGACTGAGTTTCAAACAGGGACTTTCCAAATGGTTGGGCACCTCTTCAACACCTAATTGTTGAGGGATTGGTGAGATATGGGTCGGAGCAAGCAAATTCATTAGCCAAAGACATTGCATTGAGATGGATTAGAACCAATTATGTTGCTTACCAGGAAACAGGGGCAATGCATGAGAAGTACGATGTTGAAAAATGTGGAGAATTCGGAGGTGGCGGTGAATATAAGCCTCAAGTAAGTTTTACACGCCCCAAATACAAGCTTTTGTATTGTACTTCTGATGCTTAGAATTATGGTTTATTCATCCAAAGGAATTCCTTTGCTTTCCTGTGAGCCACTCAATTTCTTATCCTAAAATTATATTCCATCTTTTGCTAACCAGGCACTAGAATGATTACTGTTTATGGAATTTTACCTGAAACTTGGTGTGGTTCAACGCAGACAGGTTTTGGATGGTCAAATGGAGTTGTATTGGCATTTTTAGAGGAATTTGGATGGCCAGCAGACGTGAAGGTGGGTTGCCAGTGAGCAAGGACATAAAGAAACATATAACCCTGCTCTACTGTAGCGAAAAAGATGTAGGCTGCATTACATATAATACTTGTTGGTAAAATTTGAAGATTCTGTCATCTTTAAAAGTCGCAGCTGGCAATTCATTACCTCTTAGCCTGTAACTGGAGTTGAAATGTGCCATTGATATAAATTGTCCTTGTCTAATAAAGCAGAATCAATTCACTGTTCTTTTTTTTTGGTGTAGTACAGATACTAAATCTTCCTGCATTGTGCCATGCCGTCTGATAATCCTTCTGTACCCCCCAAAAAAGGAGGAAAAAAAAGAAAAGAAAAGAAAAGAAAACAAGGTTTGGTCCCATGATGCAAAACTGGATGTTCAAGTGCGTAATTCATCCTTTTCCCACAGTGTCTAAATCTCCCTCCCCTGCCCTATCTGTGGCTTCTGGTTTGTGCTATTCTATCTTTGCTTTTTAACATGCCGGCCCGCGCACTAATTTTCGCACGAGTGGTAGAGGGTTTGATAGCAAACCCCATTTTCGCACAAGCTAGCAGGCTTCTGCCCTTCTATATTTGCATCTCAAAAATCACAGGTGGTAGGGCGTTCTATCTTCTATACATCTAATCCCCTATTTAATCCCTTTTTTTTTTCCCTTTCACAGCGCGGGAAATGGGATTTAAAAAACGAGAAGCGGAAGAGAGTTTTAAACTCGAAACTTTTTATTCTTAACGAAACCTTCTCAACTCCTAATCAATCTATTAAGAAAAAGCGCCCTCTAATTAAGTTTACCTGTACTCATTATTAACCTTAAAAAAGAAAAATTGATTCGACGCTTAAAACTTCCCTGTACTCGTGATCGGTTAATTGAAGTAGGCATTAGGAAAGATATTATTGTCACTGCTAAGCACCACCAATTACGAGGCTAGTGGTTGGGACCTAGGAGGAGTACTTAGTTGCCTGTTGATTTGTAACATATGTTCTTTTTCGTTGCCAAACTGGAATTATTAAATGCTGTAGACGACAAAAGGGTAACAAGCATGATGAACGGAACGCAACCAATGAGACCGATCAAGGGATCATAATGCTAATCTCCGATCTCAAATTCTAGCTTAATTTGGTGGTGGTGGGTGGTGCATGACGCAGCAGGAGAAGATGATCATCCGCATATGGTTTGGGGCCTACTTAGTTGGGGTGGTGATGGCGGGTCATCGCTTGATAGATTTCTTTCACGGTGGGAAACCATAATCTATTCCAAAAAGCCTAATTTGTTGGAGATTAGCCAGAAAACGTGTGTTGTTTTAGTCACAATCATGCAAATGGTACAGAGGCCCAAAGTCCAGCATTCTCAATTTCTGTAGCAATCAGGAAAGAGACGGATGAAAGTTGATTCCTTTGGCATCACCTTGATCCTGATTAATATTTAATAGGCTGCCCGTGATTTCCTAACTTCATAGCTTGCTGCCAAGACCATAATAATGACTTGCACATAATTGATGCTAATTGTCTTGCCATGTTATATAAAGCTAAAAATTACTCCAATCAAACTCTTCCAGTTTCTCTTTTGATGATCTGAATTTGTACTCTATTACCTAAACTCCTGATATCTAAAGCATCAGACTTGAACTCAATTTCCCACTCCGCATTCTAATCAAATTGTTTGCTGCTTCTATTAACAACCAACCTTATCTGTCCATCTATCCATCTATTATTATTAATATATTAAAAGTATGATGACTCTTAGCATTGTAGAGTGTAAGCATTTTTTTTTTTTTTTTTAGTTTTTGTTGTACCTATATTGCCCTCGCGTCTTTCAATCAACGCTATTGCAGGTTAATTGTGGTAGTAATTAAAAATATGAAACATTCCAAATGATAAAATCTCAATAAATGTTGGTGATTAAAATGAAAAACTCCCTATTAAAACTATTTAGCTGCCTTTGCAGTCCATCTCCAATTCTTATGAGTGTCAAAGTTTATTAACCGAAGCAATTTCTTGCTTGAAATAGTGCGATCAATTGCATTAGCCACAATTCTAGGAGTAAAAAAACATTAGTATCAAAAAATAAATAAATGCATTTAGAATAAAAGGGAAATGTATAAGAAGAACGGAGTCCATATTCAATTTGAGAATCTTGATATGAATATCACGGGACAGATGCATAATTATGTGCTATTTATCAATATAAAAAAATTCAACTATTTTTATCAATTGAATTTTATTTGACAACTAGATAGCCCATCTAAGATAATTGAGCGGGTATAGATCATTTACATTCTTTATTAACATCAATAACACTTAAACGCAAAATGAATGATCCAAATTCAATTATGCGTCTCACATTATTCAATTCAAATTCATAAAAATTTGAAAAGTTTATCTAAAAAGATATAAGGTAGAATAATAAAAGGTTCATGCAAAGTTGGATATGAGCAAGATTCACATATTTTATTTATAAATAATTAATTCATTTTAATTGTACAATTGCATTTTGTTTGTCTTAGCAAAAAACATTTTCAAAATGTTGATACAAATTTTGTTTTCATTCGTTAAAAATTGTTGATTTCATTGGAAACTTAACCAAGGATTTTTTTTTCCCACAAGTCAAAAAAGCACCTCTAAACTGTGGCTGGTAAATGATCTTGTCAAGGAGTAAAAGAAAGAGCAAGTGTGGTGAAAATAATTAAAATGACAAAATCTAATAAGCCAATTCATTTACTCTAATACCTCTCTAAAATTGATTTTACAATTTAAATCTTTATTTAATTGTGAATTCTATTTCCTAGGCTCACACTTAACATGTGTACATATATTTTCAATTTAACATCTTTCGTATGACATTGAAAAATTCAATATCATGATTTAATGGTACAAATATTGCGATTAAATAACAATTTCGGCAGAACATGACCATATTAATAATTGCTTGTCAAAATGGAATCCATAATTTACTAAAAAGCTCAAAATAAATTTAAAAATCAATAAATCAAAAAGTTTGAATCTCATTGAACTTTGTAACAATCATTTGGTTAAAGAAATTAATTAAAAATATAAAATATTCTATTACGAGATAAAAAAAAATTAAATTTCACTAAAAATGTATACCTAAAAGATGTTATATTTTAGTTAATATAATCACGTACGAAGAAGAACGTGAACTATTACTAGTTATCTTAGGTTTGATAAACTTCAGCTAATTTTGGCACATAATCTAAACTTAAGGGTGTTATCTAATCACAAAAGTGTTATAAAATGAAATATGAATAAGGCAATTTGATTGGAATATAGATAAGGATGAGAAAATTAAGTTCAATTTGTATACTTCAGATGCCTTGATGGCAAATCAGGAGTTCACATGAAGCAAAGTAGAAGGTTCTTCGAGAAGAGGGATATGTTTTTTTTTTTTTGCACTTTGAAGTTCAGTATTTATCCCACGATTGACAATGCGAGTATATATTTTACCCTCAACTTTACATGATCGTTCTTTTCACCAACTGCATGCTTTTTTAATTAATGTTCATACTTGGGGCCGGTGGCCACATTTGTAGATTGACAAAAGGTAACAAGAACTATGCGTCCATATGATAGGCAAGGAAGGTGGGAAGCTTCGATTTTGGGGAATTTGATGCGTTAGTTATACTAGTTTGTTTTTGGGGCAAGTATATATTAGGTAGTAAAAGTTACTTTTAGTTTATCACAGACCTTGAGTGCTGATTTAAGGAGGGTGGTACTAGAGTTGTTTTTCAAAAGGAGATCAACCAATGAATAATTGATTAAAAAAAAAAAGAAAGAAAACAAGAAACAAATTAGTGGGTGATCAAGTCAAGATTGTATACTTAACTTAAGAGGGGCAGAGGAAAAGATTGGTCATAATGTAGGAAACAGGGTATCCTACTAAGAAGTAAGAAGGAGGGGTCCCTTCCAAGACCGCGGAAACAACAATATATAGTGAGTGGCAATCATTGAAGAAGAATAGTCGTGTTCATTCATTCATTGATGAGTCTATGATCCAGCGCAGGTCTCCCCTTTGACACATAAAACACCAAAGGCAAACCAATCTGTTGATTCATTAAGTAGTAATTCTACTCTACTTCAAGGAAATCATTCATTGAATAAATTAAGATATGGTACTAATTGTAGTGGGATGATATATTTAATCAGCAGCACCACGATTGGAGTATCATTAATTAAATTAGTGTATTTAATTATGATCCGGACTCCCTCGCCTCGATCCACTTGTGGTAATACCGCTAGTCAAATTGAGTTGGCCAACAAAACTTGTTATCCTAATATATAGTTAAAGAAAGAAAGAGAAATCAAACCCAAACACATTAGCTACTTTTAATTGCAACACCCTTCTAATCAATCCTTTTAATTTGGGAGGAAGGGTTGAACGCCATCTTAATTCCACGAACAAATTTGTATTGATTTCCTGCACTAATTAACTAATTAGGTAATGGTGGTATCACCTGCTGACAATAATTAGTCGGACAAAACATTTTTGTCAGAGTTGCAATACGTGCATGTACGCCAGTTTCCTCAAGCGTCAAAACATACTTTTCATTAATTGAACTTTCAAGAAACACTGCCCGCAGGAGGAATCTCAATAATGCATGCATACCCCCATCAATGAACACGACATTACTGTACATTTTCTGGCTCCCCATTGTCGTACATGTTTCATACCTTCCAATGCAAGTAAAGGACCGTGCATGAATTAATAGTTGTCTTTACCAAAAATTTTTTTTTTTTTTTTAAAAAGAAGAAGAAGATTCTTGTTTCTTGCACGCTCGCAATTGGCCATAGTACTTAGTCAAATACAATAATTAGTTTTGCTTACCGTATCCCTGACTCCCAGCTACACGAGTATGAATAGAATGGTTAATTTAAATCAAAAGCTAAACTTTGGGGATCTGAATAAACAAAGCCCATGGTTGCATATAAATTCTCTCAACCCTGCCAAAGCTACTATGCTCCAGGCTTGATCCTCGGCAGGAGGACGAGAAAAGTGCCCAGCTTTAACCTTTTCTTCCCCTATTTCTGACATCTAGTCCCTATACATAAGAATTAGACCGGTCCATTACAGAAACCGTTGAAGTGGATTAGACTTGAGACCCTGTGGGGTTAAGTTCCCACATCGCTTGGGGGGGTTTGGGGGGTTTAGTAGTTAAGTGCTGCGGAGCACTTCAAAAGTTGCCGGCTTTTGAAGTGTCTTCGCAGGGTCCATTTATCGAAACACTCATACAAAAAACTGTGAGTTATGAAAGGAAAAACCTGTCTCGGGGAGTCTGGGGGGTCTTTACTTCTTAGCAGCAGGGCACCCTGTGGGGTTAAGTTCCCACATCGCTTGGGGGGGTTTGGGGGGTTTAGTAGTTAAGTGCTGCGGAGCACTTCAAAAGTTGCCGGCTTTTGAAGTGTCTTCGCAGGGTCCATTTATCGAAACACTCATACAAAAAACTGTGAGTTATGAAATGGATTAGACTTGAGAGTTAGCTGGCTATCAACCATAAACAAATGTGTTCTCAAGCAACACGTAGCACTCTATACAGGAAGAGTGAATGGGATCTGATGAAGGTGGAAAATTAAAGGCAAAAAGAAGGTTTTAATAAACATTTAAAAATGGTTAGGTGGGGAATGTGAAGGCGATAGTCGACTCATAGCTTTGATTCTAAAGGATGCTCACAGCTCTGGAAGGGTTGCGAATTTCGAACGTAGGTACTTGCATCGAGCAGTTCGCTGTTTCGTTTTGAATCTCAAAATTTCTTCCCCATGTGCTAATATGCTAATACAAAAATCTAGCATTGGCTTTAATATTTCCGCTTTGGAAGACTAGCAGCTTAATCAAAATAAGTACTCTTCTTTTTCCTTCCGGAGACGTTTTAATTGACCTTCTATCTTTTGCTTAAACTTTAGTTTGACCGCGTACCTGTTGAAGTTGCTCCGGCAATTGCGTGGCTTCGCTTTCTCCTCCAGAAATTGAAGAACAGAGAGGCTCGAAAGATGCTTAACTTGACAATTTAAGTAGCAGTAGTATAACTTTTGCATTAGGGCTACCAGCTAGGTTCATGGGATTCATTTACATCATCGTCATGATCTACATGTACATGTATATAGGTACGTACACCATCTCCGGTCAACGATTATCGGCTGTGCCAATAATCGCCATGCACAACTCAAGCATATAATATAATTGTCGTGACTAATGTGAGCATGTGGCAAGGTCACATATATGTATATATACACACACTTGTGTTGTGACTTGTGAATGAGAGATCGACAATGGTGAATACTGGTCAAATTAATTAGTACATACTCAACCACTGAGCTTAGGCCATCAGGGAGGGATTTGGACTATAGGTGAGAGTTCAAGCATCACCTGCAGCAAAAAAAATCTAAAGATAATGTCATAAAACTCTCTTGATCTAGCCTCCTTAGACTCCTTCTCCCCCTAGATTAGGATAGAGTAGGTTATACAATGTATCGTTGGTAGCCAAAAAAAAATAATTAGTACATACTCGACTCTCAAGAAATGAAATAGGCATATTATCACCATAGGAAAAAGCAGCATTTTGCAAGATTAAAAAAAAAAAAAAAAACACTTGCTACTATATATGTTAAGCAACAATAAGATAAAAGAGGCGAGTGGTGGCGGGGGCGTCTTGGTCCGCGCATGGATTGAAGGCACGGGAGCTGAAGAAGTGCTTCAAAAAGCTGAATTTTAGTGACTTCTTTTCCTTTTGTTATGCAACCTTTGTTGGCTCATAACGGAAAAATAAATAAATAAACAACCATTGAAGGCCCTACCCACCTTTTCTCCTTTTTCCCGTCACAAAAGGGTGGCTCGAGTAATCATCATATTTTCTTCTACTTCTCCTTCATCTTTAAGAATTACTAACTAAGAAAGAACTAAGCATTGATTCGGCAATTATGAGATCATAACAGAAGTTCACCATATTTGGACTGTAGCATAGTTACCAGATTACGAGTCTTTTACGTCGTACCGTAACTGGAATCCTTATTCGTAAGATTCCTGATCAGAAAGTGATCAGCTATTTTAATCAAGATAATGGGAATCAAGTACGTACTCCACGCTTTGTTTGTATATTATGGTATGGGTTCCAAAAAATGAAATTTCTGACAAGTGTAGGAATCAAGAAGTCCTAGTTTTAGTGATAAATAACACAGAAAAGATGCCTTGGAAGGGAAGAGAAACAAAGGATGGATGGATACGTGATATACTTTGACAATGAAAAGTGGCATTTGTGGCGTCCCATGATAGTAATACAATTGCATGTGTTGGCACATTCAAGATAATAATGTAAATCAGGCGGGTTTCTTCATTGAAGGGTTGGGAGGGTTTAGGTCATTTGCGAATGATTGACCAGTAATTTCTGTTATGTATCCCAAGATAGAGACACATTAAGAGAGCAAATCACAGATTCGAGGCCGTAGATTGACTCGTCTCCCTACCCTCACGTGCGATCCCTCTTTAACTATTGATTATCAAGGAAAACTATCAAGACTACCCTTGTGCAACCTTGAATTTTATCCCACTCTTGATTTCAATCTTTCCCCCCCCCCCCCCCTTCAATGTAACGTAACGTATGTACTGGTTCTCGAATTTGAAATCTCTCACTTACACTGTCTTTTTTTCTCGTGTTACCCATCTCATCCCTCCCCCTTTCCCCCTTCTTACAACTATACTCAGATTTCACGATTTCTTTCTGAGTTTTTCATTTTTGAAAATTTTTCCCGTGTTGGGTTAGCCTTTGTGTGGATTGTGGCCTATTTGTGTTGGTGCAATTGGTGTTTAATTAAATCACCGACCGTTGCCTCTAACCAATCACAGTTTTACAATGCCAAACCAGCAAACAGTTGACTTTATTTTCTTTGACGATCGAAATACCTTTTAGTTTAGCTTGTCCCTACTTCTGTATCCGTAAGATGATCAACATTTTCCATTGCACGATGATCTTGGTATTCTAGGTACAACTTTTGAATTGAATGCTATTTTTCCCATTCCCTGATCTTTAAATTGAATGCTATTTAAGTTTTCCCATTCCCTGGCGTGACAACCATGTAAGAAAAAGTTAAGGGTAAAACGTCTAGGTCATTTAATTTTCACATGATAGTTTCTACATGTCTAAATTCAGCCAATATTTAATGGATACTTTGATTCTTCTGCATAATTTACAAAAAAAAAAAAAAAATGCTATGTGCAAATTTGTTCATAAATCGAGACATACAACAATGATAAGGTTGTGATTGTTTTGGGGGAAGCTATAGGTTGGATGATAAGGAGAGAGTGTGTAAGTGAGAGATCTTACACCAAAAAAAAGGTTATGATTATTTTGATGGCATTTTATTTCTTTTAAAAAAAAAATTTTAGTCAATCAATAACTTTTACTCCTACTCTAACCTAAGCGATTAGAGGGAGAAGATCCCACTTTTAGATCACACGGATACACTACTAATCTAGCCTAATCTAAAGGGAAGGGGTAAGGGGAGATGATCAACTAAGATCAGCCACATATTGTGTCAAATTTGAACCTTGAGCATCACCAAAGAGGATGATGATCACTGGATCAAATGGCCGGTGGTCCTGACCTGCAATCAAACATATACCTTATATTTCACTTGATAGTCAACTCACCTAAGGAAAGTTAGTTGATGGCATTTTAATTCATTATCATTTGTAGTAGTACATTTTATTGGTACAGAAAAAACTTACGGCAACGTATTACTTGTATAATAAAAAGGACGGTCTAAAATGGTGAATCTGGTAAGAAAGAAGGCAAAATCACACAAAACAAGAAAAGATAACCGGAAAAAACAAGAAATGAAAAAAGAAGGAAAGGTAGAAAGTGGCGGTCAAGTTAGTTAAGAGACCGGTTGAATTTGAAATTAAAGAAAGAGTTAAAGCTTTACTGGTACCCAAAAAAAATGGAAAATCAATTAAAATATGCATCAATCAAATGACAAAGATATAATACGCGCCAACTCTCCTAATAATTGATTCCCTAATCCCTCCCTTTCTCCCTCCTAAGTCGTGTCATTATAAAAATCCCATCTCCTCCTTTTCCTTCTTTTCTAGTATCATCTTTGATCACCAGCCAAGCCATCTATCCATCATCCTCCTCCTCCTCCTCCTCCTCCAAAAGAAAGAGTTCATTTAGTAGTATTATATTGTCTGCGCTCCGTGAGTTGCAGCCTTCAGCGGCTAACAGACGCCAGCAATTCTCTGTCTCAGCCCGCACAACTAGTAGAAATTAATTGACAAGAGCAAAATCAAAAGTCTACGTCCACCATCACATCCACAAGCACTAGCAGTCCAGCAGTAACCATTATTGCTTACGTAAATTGCAAGCACTATTCCTCCTGCACTATTCCCTGTCTGCCGACTCTCCGGAAAAGTATTTTCTACTACATCTTTCTGCATTACACAGCACCTTCCATCACCTACAGTGGCAGTCGTCAATTCATTGCTCGATGTATATGCATGGACCCCGAAAAGTGATGGTATGGTAGCTTCTTCTTGCTACCACTTAGCTTAGCTCATTCCCTAGTAGTATAAGTTACAGGTCCCATGCCACCGACTAAATACTCGTAGTACAGAATTAAACGCTGCTGCTTTTATATACTACGTTATAATTCTCCATCATCAAGTGCAAATGCTGGAAACTGTTAAGTACCTGCTTGGCTCTGCCGGGCCAAGCGGCTTTGGCTCCAAGTCCACCGCCGAACAAGTCACCGACTACTGCCCTGATCTCCGCTCCATCACCGCCATCATCACAGGTAAAATAATATCCCAAAGGAAAAATAGCCACACCATCAAAGGGTTCCATTCTCCCTCCCTCGCTCCATCCTGTCACCTCCCACCCCTGCCTAGCTTGGTTACGTTTTCTCTTAGACAGTTATACTATGACTGTTATATTTTTATGGTTGTTTAGTATATTGTCGCATTAATATATATATATATATATATATATAGGTGCGACGTCGGGGATCGGTGCTGAAACGGCTAGGGTGTTGGCTAAGCGGGGAGCCAGGCTGGTCCTCCCTGCCAGGAGCCTCAAAGCCGCCGAGGATAGCAAGGCTCGAATTTTGTCCGAGTTTCCAGAGTCCGACATTATTGTCATGCCTCTTGATCTTAGCTCTTTCTTCTCCGTTAGAAAGTTCGTTGCAGACTTCCGCTCTCTTAATTTACCCCTTCATCTCCTCATGTAAGTACCCGTTATTGATCACACTTCCAAAAAACCCCTCGTTTTTCCCCCTTTTTTCTCTTGGATTACTCTTTTCGTTGTATTTTACAAAAATATGCATTAGTAGCAGAAATGCTTGTTAACTGTTTTTCATAAGATAACAATAGTAGTATGATGTTCCATCCGAGTACTGCAATTTTTTAGTATATGTGTAATTTTTTTTCTATAAAATATTTTCTGGAGATGGTACTACGTACGGTTACGGGGTTTATTCCTTCATTTGGTAGAAGATAGGACAGAGGGGAATGAGTTGCAGATGTTAGTACGTTATGGTTAAATGTTAAGAGTTAGTATTTGTTTATTTTATGTATAGGTATCTTCAACTGAAGATGCAGAATTTTTCAAGTACTCGATCTTGAAAATTACGTAACGTGTTTCCTTAATCAAGTGTCTCACTAAATCTGTAACAGAAACAACGCCGGAAAATTCACACAGGAGCATGCCATTTCCGAGGATGGAATCGAGATGACCTTTGCTACCAACTATTTAGGTAATGTTTCCAATAAGAAAGAAAGGGAATAGAAAAAACAGATAAACTGGCACGGCCATGCATATATGATAGATGTATGTGAATAACAGGTATGCAATTGTGTGCTTTTTGATTTTTTGGGATTTTTTTTTTTTATTTAAAAAAACAGGTCACTTCTTGTTGACAAAGCTGTTGGTAACCAAGATGGTGGAGACTGCCAAGTCAACCGGCGTTCAGGGAAGAATAGTGAACGTGTCTTCGAGCATCCACAGCTGGTTCTCCGGTGACCCGATCAGTTATCTGAGTTCCATAACCAGAAGCAGAAGGTGAGCAGTTTGATTAATGCAACAAATCACAAACATTAAAGACAGGGATCGCAACCCGATACCGAAGTAAATGCAGCTGTTTTAAGCAGCAGGCCGGGTCAAAAAAAAAAAAAAAAAAAAAAAGAATTGAAAAAGGGCAGACTTCACTTCTTTAGTCCTGTATCTTGCAAGCAATATTAGGACAGACAAGAGTACATGATACGTGGCACTTAATTTCAACTTGTGAGAATATATATATATATATAGTCACAACTAAGAAGTATCAATGCTTTAAAATATGCAAATCCCTCCTTAATTAATTACGTACAGAAATTAAGAATTTGTGGAGCTAGCTTTTGTTTTATCTTTTGCCTTTGGTTGTTGGTTAATGAAATGGTCTTAGAAGATTATTTGTGTTGGGGCTGGACAGTCATTACGATGCAACACGTGCATATGCTCTGTCGAAGCTGGCTAACGTTTTGCACACCAAGGAACTTGCTCAGAGACTCCAAGTAAGTTTCCTGATCGATCGAACTGCTGCTGTACTACTACTACTACTGCTACGTACTTGTGGATGGCACGGCGGTGATCAATTTTATGTTGTCGTAGTCGTAGTGAATTCTGCTACCGGAAAAAGTAGATTTTGTTGGTATCTAATCTTAATGAGGTTGCAGGTGTCGGTATTGGTGGATACAAAAGGCATATAGTAGTAGTAACTTAAAGATGGGAGTGGTGATCGATAATTAATATGGCCGGTGAATGTCGCAGGAGGAGATGGAGGCGAATGTGACAGTGAATTGTGTACATCCAGGGATTGTGAGAACTCGACTTACTAGAGAACGAGACGGTCTCATTACCGGTCGGTACCCCAATTCATTCATCATCAACACTTCAAGTAATTAACTGTGTGTGCATGCATGCGTTTGCGTTTTTTTTTTTTTTTGTCTAGGATATGCCTAGTCTTGTGTCTTTAACAGGATCCAGATACAATTTACAAACATATACACATGTGGCCGTGCAGATCTGGTGTTCTTTTTGGCTTCCAAGCTCCTCAAAACCATCCCTCAGGTTAGGTTGATTACTGCCACTTTTTTTTTTTTTTTTTATATTTATATTTAAGCCTGCCCTTTTCATGTATGCATGCATTACACAGCCAACTCCCTTGGGGGTGGGTTCAAATAGAATAGTTGAGGGGTGACACGACACACCTCCTTTAAACCAATTTACACCACTATTCATTCTTGAAGTACACCAACCACTATATATGTATACATATATAGCACAGCTCGACTGAGGGCGCATTTATTTTTATCTGCATGTCATGTCTCTTTGCATTTTTTTAAGTAAGTGTGTGTGTGTGTGTGTATATATATATTGACATCTCGAACAGGGTGCATTAGGCTCTTGCGTGCTTTCATTCATTCCACTGCCATATGCAATAAATTATTTATCATCATATGTTGAGACAAGTAAAAAATTAATCGAAACATGCAGTATATAAGATGCAAAAGTGCATTATTTTTTTTTATTCTCATACGTACTGAGTGAGACTCGAACAAACCTTCCTAAGTCCAAACGAACCAAAAGACAAGAGAGCAGCTGCAACGACAATAATGTGTGTAAAAATGAATCTCTAATTATTCAGGCTGCTGCGACGACTTGCTACGTGGCAACTCATCCGAGACTCTTAAACGTGACCGGAAAATATTTCGCAGACTGCAATGAAGCTCCAGCCTCAAAGTTGGCATCCAACTCGTCGGAAGCTGCACGGATTTGGTCTGCCTCTGAAACCATGATTTCCAAGCTAGGATCCGTATTTAATTAATACTAATTAATGCCTTTCTTCAACATTAATTAATTAGACTATACAAATGGTATTGTACGTAGCACATGTTATATATCAAGGATACATAGGAAAAGACGTACAGTATATATATACAAGAAAATTATGTATAGCAAAATTATGCACTAGTTCATAATTACAGGATGTAGTTTGTAATGCTAGGAGCAAAATGGATATATATATATATGGTTCCATGTGAGCGGTTGGGATTTTTTTTATTTTTTTTTTATTTTTGGGAGCATCTTTTGGGGCCTACTAACATGGCATCATCAGATAAACCCCCAACTACAAGGGTGATCGTGGGAATATGAATGTATCGCGCGATATATATATACATATATATATATATATATATCCTCCTCCTCCTCTTCGATCGGCTCCTCCTCCGTTTATGGTTGTTGAGTTGCATGCAGCTTGACTTGATCGCCTATTGGCTGCTACAACAAACAAAATGATATGGATCGGAGTATTTTTTTACTACGTACGTGTTCTGTTGCATATGAGCTTAACTCGTGCACAAGTACATTTCTTACTGCTAATGAACTTACCACTTTAATTATGGAGACAGTAGTCTTAACTCTTTGAAATATTATAAGAAAAATCAGTGACAATTTGGTCTTAAAGATTCCAACTTTCAAGCACTTTTAGTTCTTAAAGATACCTCAAGTTAGGTTTCACATTCACCACAACAAAAGATATGCACTTCTAGCTAGTTTCCATCTCTAAAGTCAATTACCCTGTAACCAAAGTCATGATAAAAAGTTGAAAGAAGATTGAGCTTTGAACATTTACAAGTTGAAAAAAGTTTAAAACCCAGCTGGCACATAATTTGGCGTCATTCTAGGAGTTGGCAATAGTTTCTTGGTTTACTGCTTGGACGCATATCAAAGAAGGAAGAAAAATCTCTATACTTTTCATCCAAAATTTTACTACTATTTTATAGTTACTTGACGATAAGTCACTGTCTGTCACTCTTGCTTTCTGACATCTTAAATGCCTAATTACACAGTAGTATCCACGGAAAACTGGGTAGCCTCCTTTTGGAGCCACCTATGGTATCACTTTATCAAGGAATGGACTCCCAAGAATGGTGGACCAAACCACCGACTTTCAGGCCATCGACTTGACGACACTCGTTCTTGAGAAAAGGAAGCAGATGCTGGTCTGCTACGAGAGAAAAGTGCTTCAGCTACACATTGCTGCATTATACGCCATTTATTTGTGTCGCTTTATCCTTTGCCCACCACGGTCTGCTTTCTGCATCGGATAGCAACTTGAGGTGGATTTGCCATCTCTATGGCGTCTCATTCACTACTGCTTTTCAGACCTCCATTAATGTTCGTCGTCTAGGCTGGATGGTGTCAACAAATGGATATACAGGAAGAAATTTATCTGCATAATCCCCAGCTGCCAACCTAGGCTTCTATTTGTGATCAAAGCTGCTCATGTCATAATTAATTGTGCTAATGAGCTTTAACTCATGCACAAGGACATTTCTTACTCTGCTAATGAACTTGCCACTTTATATGGAGACGGTCTCAACTCTCAAGAATATTAAGAAAAATCAGTGACAATGATTCTACCCCTTTACATGTGGAGAAGAAAGTATGTATTAGCCCAATTCAGTCTAAACCGTATTTATAATGCAAACTCACTAGAAATCTCACACGCATATAACTCATCAAAACGTAATCTCCGACAGGCAGCAATGTATAAACAGTCGTTTCACCATATATTAATAATCTTTAAAAACACCAAGATGCCATACATTACAGACAAACTTCAACGAATTGAACTACGACATATCAAACAAATTTCGTATGGTTGTATTGGTTCTATTTGCTGTTTGATGACCTTTTAGAGCAATGCTTACATATTTACGTATAAAGTCAAGAACGGTGCCTTTTATATAGCGTAGTAGTACCAATATTGGTTCCCATTTTCAAGTCATAAGTTAACTATAACTCATAAGGGTGTGTTTCAAGAAAATGAAGTCTAAAGTTCGAATTTATTAAATTACTGAATCGTTAACCATTCAAAACTTAACATTTGAAATTATTCTGCATTAAATGATAACTGAATAATTTATCACTTATGTTTTGAATAAATTTTGTCTAAATAATTCAAAACCACTTAATTAATTAAGATGTTTTTATTTTTTATTATCAAACACGTCTTAATTTATTAAAATATGAATTCATTAAGTTTAAACGCTGAATTGGATTGTCTAGCAGGACCTAAGTATCCATCTTTCTTGTGTTCTTTTCCGCGAAAATTACTACATACTACATGTGAAGTAAAAAAACCAGCAACCTTTTGACTCTACTTCTAAGATAATAATGCATTATATCCATGCCATTTCATTACTGCAGGATAAAATTGAACTACAACTACACAGCACCAACTTTAAATATCAAAATCGCAAAACCCGTTACTTAATGGTCGTAGATCTCTTGATCATAATGGATACGATTTTTATTTTTTCATGCTGAATATATTTGTGCATTGAAATTTGTGACTTTTGGACAACTATATATACCATTTTAAAAGTGGAAGAATATTAAAAGTACAAAACCTTTTGATCCCCAAGTTTCAGAATCGATTTAAGAGTTTTGCAAATGTATAAAGCTTTGGGCCATTGGGTTTCATAAAGCCCACTTTGAACAGACCCGAAATTGCTAGTAGAGTGAGGGCTTCCCAGAACTCCGATCCATCTCTTAAACCCTCTGGACCTTAAAAGTTAAAACCCCCGATCGGAACTGCACTGCCCAGCTCCACAAGGCCACCCAGAAATGGCGTCCTCGGTCTCGGGGACGATCGTCCCAAGATTCACGGCCGACACTCTCCGCTCCGCCGCCAAACTCTCCCAAGGCTGCCACGTGGTCCCCGTCCGCCTCCGCCGGGCCATCAAAAAATACCTCCGTGGTACACATGTATTCCCATCTCTCGCTGCACAGAAGGTGAATTGATCTTAAAAGGTTTGTGATTGAACATTTTCTTGATCATTGCTTTGTTGTAGAAAAAGAGGACCCACATATGAAAAGGAAAGTGTTGAGCTTGTCTGAATCCTTTCACGAAGTCAAGGAAGTGAATCTGCTGCTGCCGAGGTCGACTTCAAAGGAGCTAGTGGAAGATCCCCTGAAGAGCATGCAAAGCTCAAAAAGATGGAAGATTAAGAGTGCTTATGGGGACATTGGCCTCAAGTATAGAGATGATGAGACTATTGCCTACGTGGCATCTCGGATGCCGGCCGTCTATGCCGCCTGCTACAGAGTACTCAGCGAGGTAACGCAATTTATAAACTAAAGCGAGCCCATTTGAATATTTCAGTTGTTGGGTATGGTTAGAAATGTAAAGCCCCACAATGAGAAATGTAAAGTTGTTTTTTTTTCTCTCTGTTTTTTGTTGCAAATTTTAAGGTGAAGAGGAGATTGCCGGATTTTTCTCCTGCTAAGGTGTTGGATTTTGGGGCTGGGACTGGTTCTGCAATGTGGTGAGTAATTTGCTAGGAGGGGGGAGGTGGGGTGTGTGTGTTTAATGGCATTGATGATTGAACTTGGTTGTTGTGAAGGGCTTTGAGAGAGGTTTGGCCGAAGTCGATGGAAAAGATCAATTTGATAGAGCCATCACAGTCTATGCAGCGGGCGGGGCAGAGGCTTATAAAAGGTAAATATATGCTGCATTGCTTGAGTTCGAACAATCCTTACGTTCTCACTCGTCTAACTTCTTCCTTTAGCTGTTTACGTATGGAGTCTTATCGAGTCTTATAAAATGTTTACGCATGGAGTCTTATAAAGGTTCCCTTTTTCCACTCTTATTTCACGTTGTTAGTACAGATGCTTGAAGTACCTTCAGTTTAATTGCTAAAGATTATTTTTGTACAATTCAATAAGCCCAAAAAGGAAAAAAGTGAAATTAAGTTCAGGTAAAGAAATTAGATTATTGTTTTCTTTGAACATGGATACCACAATACAGCAACTTGATGTATTGATTGCTGCACCTTTTAACTGAAACAAATTCCAACCTAATTTCTTGAATTCCAATGTAGATGAGCAGTATGTCGAATTAAGTGTTCTTAGGCATTTAGAGTTACTAAGCAGACAGCCTTGCAAAATAACGGGGAGCTTCATATGCTTTGAGAATTATTGTTGATTTTAGGCTCAATTTTCTATGTTTCTCTTGTTTTCTCATTGGAAAGTTATTACTGCATCAGATATGAGTCAGACAGCCCTTGGAAACATTAATTTATGAAGCACAACAAATAGACTCAAGCAAATAATTCTGCTAAGATATCCTTCAACTAGACAATGGGCAACTAGTTCACAGCAACTATAATTTAGTATCCAGAAGGCAAGCTTTCTTTAAAATACTAGAATCCCCCCAAGGAAAAGACAAAGGCAAATACATTCACATACTCCTCATGTAAAATGGTTAAGAAATAGCAAGGAGTTGCAATAGGTCAGACCTGAAGTACTAACGCCCAATTATAGAGTGCATCATAATCGTCTGGATTTCTCTCTAATGCACTAGCATACCTGCATATTAAACATCAACATATATTAACAAATAGTATGCTTTTGTTTCCAACCAGATTGAGAAGTGGAGTTGTAAGACAAGTTCTCACAAGGATTTGATCTTTCTTTTTCTTCCCCAGGGTGGAATGCATTGAATGTGGGTTTAAATTTTTTCAGCTAAATTATAATGACATGATTGGTGAAGTATCAAAAGACAACTCCCCGGTAAAGCTTTTGGAAATAGGTAAAGCATATAGTCATGCAATTCAACACATTCAATATCTGATCAACTGAGAAGACACTAGTAAATGCGAAACATGCATAGCATAAAGCAATATCATTCTCTAAGTTTAGCCAGTATGTCAAATCATATTGAGCAAATACTTTAGAAGAATAGCAAACTCTGTCTTGGTAACTGAATACTTTGCTCTCCTGTAATGTGATTTAGCCCTGAATACTGATTTTTGGATGGCTAAGTGGTTTATCTAGTGAAATGAAGTAAGAAGAAACTATATAACTGCTAACAAAAATGAAAATCATGGCCCAAGGAGAGTAAAACAAACTAAACAAATACATTGAATAATAAAGCTAACAGGATTCAAAGAAAAGAAAAGTAACTCTAACATGCTATAAAATTACTTTTTCAACATGTTTGGCACTATTGGAGTTTCCCTAGCAGCCGACAACATGACTGACAACATTTGAGGAGAAACTAAATACATATGCTAAGAAGCGAAATTACAAAGAACAAGAAAGAAAAGAAACAATATCATAGATGCAAGTGAAAAAATACACTAGGAAAATTTCAAAACTTCCACATAGGAGCTCAACAGCTGAAAAGAAATTCTAATGTTAATCCCTGAAGAATGAGAAGAAAAACCCAAATAACAGCGTAGTTGACAATTTCAAGGTGCAAATCTGATAGCCACCTCTTCGCTGCAAAGGTAAGAATGCGTTGGCGAGACCGACCCTCCTCATCAGCCCCTGTGACGCTATCAAGTAATTCCATGGCAGCATTGTTCTGATCAATATGTTGTGTGCTTTCTTGACTGGAATATCCATAGAAAACATGGAGGATACAGTAATGAGAACCAGAGGCATATAGAAAGCATCTCATTTTGCACGAGAACACTTGCAACTAAAATAACTCACAGAAGACAAAAATATAAAAAAATAAGGTTTATAATGCAGAACATTGCAGCAACAGAACTATTAATACGATAGAGGCCAAATCCATGTTAACATACCCATTTCCCCTAGACGCTTCGATCAAGAACCCATAATTAACTAGATGATTTCCAACTAAATGACTCAAGCTGAAAGTGTGTAAATATTATTGGCAAAGTGCACGACATTTTACCAATTTCAGCACTGTCCTGTTCTGTTGAAACATCATCTATCAAAATGAAGAAATGACCTTGTATTGGTCATCATAACCTAGCGTCACCACAGATGCTATTTATTTTCGTAGCACGGATGGAACCTCAAACATATAGGTAACTTCATCTTTAGCATGCATTGATTTTGGTCAGATACCCTACGCGCATTTTTTCCAAAATGTCCATTTATCCGTGCAGCAGTCCATCCACCCACTGACTTGACCAACTCTCCAAGCCGCATATCTTTTCAAAGCATTCGAATAATGTCCAAGAGACATTGAAACGGAAGCCATTTAAATTGACAAATTATTAAGTAGAGTCCCGTATCACATAGGTTAAAAAAATGTGCAATCTTTATTAGATAGCTTTCCCTCCATTATTATGTATCAAACCCTGCATTCTAAGAAGACCATCACAAACATCACTCAGTTCAAAAACTTATTCTAACTTGACAACTTTGGCCTCGTGTAATTCATTATATTCTAGAAAATCAAATCGAGGAAACAGAAATCCGATCCTATAGCTGGAGAATTAGCATTCAGCTAAGTAGAAACAGCTTCAAGATTGCAATTTTAATGGAAGCTCAACTCCAAAAGAATCGATGTCAGCAGTTCTAAATCCTCCTAAGTCCAAACGAACTTGAAGTCAAGTTTCATGAACTGACCTATGGGGAGTGGCGGTATCTCTGTGATCAGCATCTGAACCACCAGGAACCATCTCACCATTCTTCAATTCATTCAACAATTCTCTCATGGTAAAGGTTCGGCTGCCCTGGTCATTGCCCAGCTTGGAATTGGTCTCCGAAGCGTTGCTAGGCTCCGGAGATTCGTCGGTTTTGGGATTGAAATTGGGATTGGGGTCGGAAATGGAATGAGAATTGGGCGGGGCTCCATAATCGGACTGGATCGAGTTATGGTCATCAGATTTAGTCGATGCCTGGGCATTGGTTATTCCATCTTCTGCTTCTGGATTTAATTGAGTTGTTGCAGTGTCTTGTTCCAACGCATCACTTGGTTGGCCGTTGGCCGACGCATTCTCAACTCTACGGAAGCTTGGACTGGGACTTCGGGATGGGTAGCTCCGGGTTGTGATTCAGAGAGGTCAGCGTTTGAGGACATAGGTAATAACTTGTGTGTGTTTCTACAGGGATTGAGAAAGAGAAGTGGGAGAGAAGAACCAGAGAGAGGAGGAGGAGGAGGAGGAGGAGAGATCTGTAATTAGAGGACTGACTTACCCACTAAAACTCCTGCAAAGCAACGATCTTCCAAAAGCAAACAGCACCAGGGGCTTTGCTTCAATTTTTAAATTTACACTCACCTCCCCTACGGATTGGCACTATGGCAAGCAGATGCTTCCACTTTAGCCTTTCTAAAAATTCGTGCTGCCAGCCCCATTCAAAGTTAATTTTTCACTTATTGTAGGCTGTAGCAGCTAAATTACCTCATCTCCTCCTCAGGGTGGGCTGAATTTACTAATTACTTGATTTGGTTACATGTATCTTACAAGTTTTGTTTTTTTGCCTGATTTTAAAAGATTAACCTACTGTAATTAATTTTCTTTTGCTTTTTATTCAATTATTGCATTGTCTATTTATTAGTATTAACTACAAAGACGTCCGTGTATTATGTTTGCTCGAACAGTCAAGGAAAAATCGTTTAAAATATTTTTCACATTTCATTAATAAATTTTTTCGTTCATCACTTTTAAAATAGTAATTTTATGTCCCTATCAAGTTGATAAAATTAGTTGCAACTTAGATTTTCAACCATTTTCTATTATAATCTATCATGTGACTCATATATGGTCATTTTTAGGCCCAAAAAGGTTATATTCCATTTGTAATTAAACAAATAACTCGGTTCATATCCATTTTTTATCCTTAAAAAAGTAAAATTTGACTCAAACTATGTTCATTTTTTTTGCTTAAAGAATGAAATTTGACCCAATTTATATTCATTTATGTCATTAAAAAAGTGAGATCTGATATATTTTATACATAAAAATGATTGCATATAGGTTACGTTGTGATTTCAAACTAAAAAATAATTAAAAATTTAGGTTGAGACCAAATTTTGCTAACTTAAATTTGTAAAAAATGTGAAGCTAATATTTTAAAAATGAAAGATACATAAATTCATTTGACAAAATATGAAAAATATTTTGAACGAATTTCTCAAAAATTAATATAGAAACTTATGTGATTTTGAAAACATTAAGATAGTCTGACGTAATCATTTTACTATTTTAGGAGAGTTTAGCCCATATTAATTCAACACCTAAATTTGATGGATTCATATTTTAACATGTTCAAATGAATTTGATGACCAAAAATTAAATATTTAAATTAATTAAATAGCACTGAATTTCATAGGTAAAACTTGTTTCAAAAAAATAGTAATAAACTATTCACTTATCACTTTATCGCATACTCAAATGTATCAAATTTAGTACTTAATAAATTTATAATTTAATGGATTCAAATTTAATATTCCAATTTTCCAGCTTGAATTTTATCAAATGTGTCCTTAGTTTAGTCATTAGTGTAACAAAAAAAAAAAAGGGATAGTTACAATTGCTATTTTAAAAATTAAAAAAAATTAAAGGCACATTTTTATTGTTCTTTCAGAGAGGATATCGCGAAGAACCATTCTCAATACCTCAAGTTCTCTTCCCCAACACTCCCCCTACCTTCCTTAGAAAAAAGCAAAAAAGTCCAAACTCAAAACAGTATCGATTTAGGATCTATTTGGGATTGCAGTGATTTATTGAAAAGTAATTTATCTAATAAAACTTTTAATAAAAACACTTATTAAGTGTTTAATACTTTTAAATATATTATTTAGATTCATAATTAAATAAGTACTTATTGCACTGGATAATTTAATTTGGTTCATATTATAGGATAGAATAATTACATTTAACATTTATTTTATAAAACACTAAAGTTATTGTAAACCTACCAAATTTTAGCTTTTACTAGAGTGCTTTTAACACCAAAATTTTACTCTTAACTTTATGTGATGATATTCACCAAACAACCCAAAAATATTTTTAGCACCCAAAAGTGTTTTTTTTACAATAAACACCGCAATTTCAAATGGGCCTTAGAAACTGTCTTTACAAAAACATTGGGTCCGTTTGGATTCTTGTTTTTGGGCCTGTTTTTGAAAAACTGTTTTTCACAATCCAAATGCTACAGTAAATGTGTATTTCAAAAACAACTCCAAAAACATCAATATCCAAACAATATATCAAAAAACAACTCCAAATACATATTTAATATGTTTATTTCAATTTATATATTTCAATTATGTATAGGATATATATATTATATTAATTTAAATATATTTATTTATACATATTATAAATATTTTACTTTATATAAAATATATTTTTATATATTTATATAAATATTATATATTATATAAATTATATATATTATAAATATGTTATTATACATTTATATAAATGTTATATATTATATATATTTAATATATACATAATATATATTATATATATTGAACATTTATATAAATGTACATTTAAACATAATATATATATTTATGCATATTTATAATATACATTTAAATTATGTATTATATATAATATAATACATTTATACATTTATATTAATATACATAATATTAATTACACATTTATACATAATATTAATAAATGTATACATTTATATTTATTACATTAATACATTCATACATAGTATTAATATATATTTATAATATATTAATTTATACATTTATATAATATTCATTTATAATTTATACACATTTATAATAATATACATTTATATATTTATAAATATATTTATATTATGTATTATATATAATATAATACACTTATAATACATTTATATATTTATTTTAAATATAATATATAATAAATAAATATAATACACTTATTTATTTATATATAATATATAAATTTATTTATAAATATAATATACTTATTTATTTATACATAATATATAAATATATTATATTTATAAATATTTATAATTGTATTATAAATGCATAAATGTATATAAATATAAAAACATAAAATTATATATAATTATAATTATATATAATACATTTATATAATATTCATATAATTTATACACATATTATAATATATAATACATTATATACATTTACAAATATATTTATATTATGTATTATATATAATATAATACACTTATAATACATTTATATATTTATTTATAAATATAATATATAATAAATAAATAAATATAATACACTTATTTATTTATATATAATATATAAATTTATTTATAAATATAATACACTTACTTATTTAGAATAATATATAAATATATATTTATTCATCAATATATAAATATATTTATTTATAAATATTTATAATTGTATTATAAATGCATAAATGTATATAAATATAAAAACATAAAAATTATAAATTATAATATACATTTATATAATATTCATTTATAATTTATATATTTATAGTAATATACATTTAAACATTTATAAATATATTTATATTATGTATTATATATAATATAATACATTTATATATAAATATATGAATATATTTATTTATAAAAGTACAAATATATTTATTTATAAATATTTAAATATATTTATTTATAAATATTAATAAATGTTTTATAAATGCATAAATGTATATAAATATAAAAATATAAAATTTATAATTTATAATTTATACATTTATATAATATTCATTTATAATTTATGCATTTATAAATATATTTATATTATGTATTATATATAATATAATACATTTATATATTTTTATATAAATTTATTTATTTATAAATATTTATAAATGTATAATTATATATTGTTATAAAAATATAAAAATTATAAATTATAAAATACTCGAAAATATGTTTTAAAAATACATCTAAAAATAATCCATAAAACATCTACAGTAAAAGCTTTTTATATAATTTTTGAAAAACAACCCCAAAAACAACTAATCCAAACGAACTTGTATTTGAAAAACGAAATGCTACAGTGCTGTTTTTGAAAAACAACCCCAAAAACAGCTAATCCAAACGAACCCATTAGTTCAGTAACACTTGCTATGAGCAAATGATTTGGAATGAAATGACCTTTTTACCCAATAAAAAGGATAGGAGACATATCCATTTGATGCCAGTGTTGTTAGATCAAAACCAAACCTGTTGATTTGACCATGAACTAGCCTTTTTCTCGAGTTCGTTAGTAACGCAGAACCGCTTTGATCAAAAGATCAATCAAATTTGTCAAAAATCGATCAAATCAATGACCTGGTTTGACTGCTTGATTCAGTTCTCAAATTTTCTTTTTCAAACAAAATATAAGTTATCTAAATTATAAAACATTCATTTATTAATAGGAATAAAAAAATATCATCTCTTAGTATGAGCATCAAAATCACTCGTACCCCTAAATGTTATAAATTAAGAAGTTTTTATCCCTATCATCTTATCAATTTATTACTAATGATTTCAACTTGTAGCAAAAAGCCATATTCCCAACAAAAAGATCTCAAATTGGGCCTGATTTGTTTTAATTCAATTTGTCAAGTAATTTTGGACAATGGACATATTTTAGATATAAATTCACATTTTTATATATAATTTTTAAGAATATATTTAATTTTACACGTAATATTTTTGGAAATATAGTTGGCCAAATATAATGAAAAACTTAATTTTAATATTTTTTAAATAAAAAATATATGAAATAATTATGACATCACACTAATGACAACAAATTTTTAAAACCGATCTAACCAGTTCATCCAAATCTAATAGTTTAACGAGTTGCTATCTGATCCAAATTTAACAACATTGATTAAATGTTGGTTTTCTATTCAGAAGTTTAAAGCAAACATGCACATTCTATCATCTTTATATTTTATCATCTTAGCTCCACGGAACATATTCTTTTGAAATATTAATTGAAATAATTATTGTAATATTTTTTGTAATGTGATATATGTGAGATAAAAAAATGATTGAAAATATAAAAAAGTGAACGAAAAAAAATATATTTATGATGCAAACAAAATATTATTTAAAAACATTTGCCATCCAAACAAAGCCTCACTTCGCCTGATTTTATTTGAAAAGGTTTTTTTGCCGGACTTCTTTCCTCCACCTTTTCTTTTCTGTTCCTCTCTTTCCCATTCTAATTCAGTTTCTCCTCTGGCTGTCAATTTTAAAAACAAAGTACTGACTCTTCTACCAAAATTCAAAACTTGCCAACCATTTTAAGGAGTAAATACACAAGAAACGAGAGCAAGACCACTGCCAATGAATGCACAAAACTAGTGTTTGGTGAGCTAAATGCTCAAGTATACATGATTTTGTACTTGAGACCCGCGAATCATTTCAAACAACTAAGCTTGGTAGATCGCCACTTCAGTCAGCAAGTCAGTGCCCAGATTGCAGGCAATACACCATGATTTCATAATTTACTCAACACAACAACTGCCTATAAGGCTATAAATAACTAGCATCCGAAAATGAACGAAAGGTGAATACCCTGCTTTAAGAAGGCATTTCTCACAAGAAGCAACAAGCCAGCAGCAAGATCTTGTAAAGGTGGGAGCGGGTTGAGGTTAAAGGGACGAGGAACATCAACTAAAAGGGTAACAAAACGTGAAAATTATTCTAAGACAGTAAGAGTGTCCTATATCTTATCATGGAGGTTCACCACCAAGTCATGAGCATCATCCAAAAGCTTCCAAACATCCAGATTCCCAGCCATGCTGTTGCATTCCCTCATAATTTCATCCATACTACTGTATTTCTCAATGATCAGCTTCCTTCTTTGCAACACGCAGGCTGATATGGCATAAAGAAGTAAATCCTCTGTTGGAGGGGCCCTCATCCTCAACCTTCCCACGCAGATTTTGCTATTCCAGCCCTGATAGCTGCCTGATCTGCCCACATTACCTCCCAGAGGCAAAGGGTCTGCTCAAAATTTAACTCTCTTCTGAACAAAACAACCACCATTCTGTACACGAAAAAGCAATCCTCTGCCTGAAGTTTTTCCAAATGCCTGTACAGATGTGAATCTTTGCATTTTATTATTTTTGACACAATGTTCAACTGTCTACGAATCCCCACCTCATCAAGACGGAAATTATGCCGAGCTTTTCGCATGAAACCCACGAAGCACCAGAAGGCTTCATGATCCTCCTCTACCACAGAGATAATTGGAGAAAGTAAATCACTCATCCCCTGACAATAACCAATCTCAGAATCATATAATGCATAAGCTTCTAGGATGGCAACAAGGCGAGCAGCATGATAAATCCTGCAAGGCTCCAGATGATCATAATCCTTTAGTCCAACACTCTCAGCCAATCGCCGTGCCTTGACCTCGGATACCGAGGCCTGGGAAGGTGAATAAATAACCCATTCACCATTTGCCCGAACAGCATCAAGGCGTATGATCCTTTGCCACGTTGCAAAATCTTCAGATGCAGGGGGTTGCAAGGTACCAGCTGACTTGTGATGACAACATTCAGAACCCTCATCAATATAGCTTTTTTCTGTTCCTTCCTGAGCAAAGAAAGGCTGTGTCTCCTCAGGGTCTTCAGAAGATTCAGAATCAGTTGACGCTGTTTCAGGTTCAGAAGCGTTCTCATTGGCAATTCCACTATGATCACCATCATGCTCAACCAAGGAATTGCCCGCTTTAAGAGTATCAGCAACTTCATCACTGTCCTGACCCCCCAACAAATTGTCCGCTTTAAGAGCAGCAGCACTCTAACTCTGTTCCTGTCCTCGAATGCTGGGCTCAATTCCTCCACGGAAATGGAACTCCCACACTAACAACATCTTCTAGACCTCGGGAATGCCCAACTTGACTAAAATCACCAGAGTCCTCATTGCTGTCATTTCCAGAAGTTTCCTTCGACTTGAAGCTCTTATCACTACTACTTAAAAGTTGTTGGCACTGTCTTCGCAGGTTGACATACTCTTTTCTGTGATAGCAGTAGATAAAAGAAATGAAAAAAAAAAATTGAAGAAGCTTACGGTCTATGTTCACAGAAAAAAGTCCATTAGAACTACTCGTTGCCACTTAGTCAATATCATATCATACTTTCTTTTAACTGATTAGTCAAAGTGCCAAGATCGAATTACCGTTTCGAGCTTTAATGGAATTTCTTTCTTCCTCTGTACTATTCAAGTCATAGCTGTAGCAAAAAAATCAATTAAGTGAATAAAGCTTCCATATTAAACAGCAGGGATGAGATTTGCAAAGAATGATGGGAACTAAAAAAACAACAATATATGTAGTTTCTACCACAGGCAAATTGATCTATCAAGCTAGTACTCCATTCAGCATCAACAAAACCCCCAATATCAAGCATCTGACATGTTCCTATCAGAACCAGAGTCCACAACACTTGACACCTTGTCATTTAAGTCTTACCAAGCTATGACAGACAGGAAAAAAAATCGACTGGGAAAAACATTATGGTGCTTACACTCCAAGAAGGAAAGGCCAACTCTGCCCGTATATTTGGGTCAACACCCCTGCTTGAACACAAATACCAAACTCAAAGTCAGAGCAACAAGCAGATGCACAAGGAAACTTCAATTTCGATAAAGCTACTACAAAGGCAGAAAATTCCAGTGCTGCATTGAAGGCATCAGACTATTTTTATAGATGGAAGTGATAAACATACCCACTCCTGCTGCTTTCTTCAAAAACTTAACACCCCCATCTAACAGCCTACCATCAGTGTCGAAGAAAACTCTTCCACTGTTTCTGCAGCGGCCATGTTTCCTTCTCCTCCTAGACCATGGTGATTTTAGGCTTCCCCTGCAAAAAAGACGACAAAATATTAGATTATTGAATTTTAGCGCCAAAAAAAAACAAAAAAGGTCTAAAAGCAAAGAATGATTAGCACACATAATTCAGCAAAGAAAAGATGTCAGAGCTCACAATGTCATGGTGAATACGGTTGATGAATAACCGGAATTCACATTCGTACCACTCCCCTACTAAGAAACAGACTTTCAGGAACAGCTGAAAGTTCCTAGCATCAAATATCAAATTATGCACCCTACTACCAATACTGAACCATCCATCTACTTTTCACTGGAATTTCGTTAACCATGCCCAGAAAAGAAAGAAGAGATGAACGCTAACAGTATAGGATCAAAAAGGCAGAGAGAGATCGCTAGAGGAGCACTTCTAACATCTGGGATCAAAAAGCCTAAGTCTTCGAATAAATAAAGATAAGGAAGCTGAAGAAAATGAAAATAGTCCAGGAAAAAAGAAAAGGAGAACGTTGGGAACTCACCACGATCTGCGGAAACTGGTGAGGATGAAGACGAAGAAGAGGAGGAGGCAACGACTAATAAAACCGATCTGAAATGGACCCATGACGAAGAAGAAGATGGCGTGGACGGCCGTGATGAAGAAGGAGAAGGAGAAGGAGTATTCGAGAAAAATGAAGTGTGACTCCGCCGCAGTGCTCTCATCAACGGTTTATCTTGCATCATCAACATCTACACCTATTTACCTATCCCTAAGCCTACTTCTTTTTTCAGTTAACGACGATTAATTCATTGATCGAGTCCTTTTCCTTTTCCAGCTATTCATCTAGGGTTTACTTCAATTGCAAACGAAGATGACGTACAGATTTCGACCACCGCGTAAAAAAATCCCATCTTTGTTTTAGAATTTTTGTTTTTGTTTTCTTTACCTACGGGAGTAGACGACGGTGGCGGCCAAGGCGAGACCGGCCATGGCCGTCACGACGATAGCTATTCCGACATTGGAAGCCGGCAATCCAACACTAGATGAGGAAGTACCCCAAAATCCGCCGCCGCCGCCGCCGCCTCCCCGGCCTCCGCGAAAATGCCAATGATCCCTCCTCTCCGACGACCATCACCACCGGAGAAGATATCAAACATCAACAGCAGAAGCGGCAAGAGAACAAGCAACGGCCTTGTCGGCGCCGGAAAGTGAATCGGAATGGTAGGGTTTTCCTTACAAGCGGTCCTTCTCACTCTTCTCCCAAATCCGCGGCTGAACCAAAAACACCATCGCCCACCGCTTTAACCGCTTTTCACTTTAGTTGGAGTGTTGGACCATTTTTTTTTTCAGAACTAAAATAATAAAAATAAAAAATAAAGAACACTCCACACTGATTAATTAAATAATCATGTGTAATAATTTCTCCAGATTTTCTGTATATACGGCTTAGTATTAGTAAAATTTATAGAGACTTTTTTTTTTAAAGTTTTTTTTTTTTTTGGGAAGATGTGGGGGCTGGTGAGCGACCCTGTTGCTTGCGGGCTGGGATGAGTGTGGGCCCAGTTGATCCATTAAGTTTTTCTTAGTCCCTAATACTGCTGCCTGCTTCATTGCTACTGCCTACTAGTAGTAGTCTGCCTTTTCTAAGTGGGGGCGGGTGCTGTCCTTCGCATAGGAGTAGGATAATAATCACCGATTTTTGACAAAGTTAATACATAAATAGATAGTACTAGTAGTGGGTTTTCTGGTGGTAGTCTTTGGTGGGGCAAAGCGGCAGTCCATGGATGGATATGCATATGATTGTGATACCAGCTTGCCAACAATTCGTGCTATACGAATAATACTTGCTTAATTAATATACTAATTAAATTTTTTCCCTTTTGCATTTACCATTTAGAACGAGAAAATAATTAACAAGATACGATTTGTTGTTTGCAACAATTATTGTGACGGTGTAATTGAGCCGTTGGATTACCTACGACATGATGGAGCTAAATCTGGGGACATGTAAAACCATTTTGAGTCTTTTTTGACGGTATGATTCACGACATAAACGTTTAATTATAGACCAAAATCTGTCGAAACACGATCATTATCATGACTCCACGAGCTGTTATTCTGCTAATTTTTTTTTTTTTTTGTAGTTTTATTTATATCTTCAAGAATAGTACTGCATACATTTTGGTTTTATGGATTATTACAACACAAACTCTTTTTTTGGGGTTTTTTAAAAAAAATTTATACCCCGAAGAATATTTCCTTTCTTTTTGGCCCTATTTATATCTTGAAGTAGTAGCAAGTTAACTAGTTCCATTGCCATATGATTGATTTAGTCAGTGTAAGAAAGAAATGTGTGGTTTTTGGTTTGTGTGGGGGCTGCTTTGAATGAGGGGCGCTGTATTTTTTTATGTTTTATTTATACGTTTTCTTCATGAGTTTCTCAACCTAGCACTAGCACAAAGCTTTTGATTCAACTTTTGTGAGGTGAAAAAAATTATTGATAAGCGGGTAGTAATAGTAATAGTAAGTTAATTTAACAAAGGAAAAAATAGACAGGTGAGGTGGTTATTAGTCAAAGAAAATGATGGATGAGGCAAAAGAGCAGAGAATGGTGTCTGCCCTTCTAGCTGTTGATGATGACTCGTGAAGATGCTGCCAGGTACTAACCGAGCTTTAGGTTATCATGGGATTAATAATAATGCCTGAGTTGTGGTAAAATAAAATGATGGATAGCAGTGGAGTAGCATCACATGCCACGGCAATAGTCTATACTCTATAGGGAGCTTTTTGTACGAGGGTGCAGGAAGCGGGAAGTGGGCATGCAAGGAAAGATAGGGTGGATTTGGATCCAGGAGCCAGGGAGGACCTTCCGATATTTATGGCGGCTCACATGCCATTTCTTTTGTCCTCCGTTGCGCCAAAGCTTAGGTTGCGTTTGAATTGCGTTTTTCGTCATTTTTATGAAAAATTATTGTAACGATTTGATATATATGAAAAAAAAAAGTGATAGAGAAATGTGATTACGAAAAACAATAATATTTTCTAACGAAAATAAGCAATTCAAGCAAGGCCTTAAGATTTTTTTTTTCCCTTTTTTGATGAAGCAAAATGACGGCTTATTTTGGGAGTTGGAGATTTGGGCAGAAAAAAAAAAAAGACACAAAATTTGCACCTCAGGGCTGTTGATGAATACATTGTTTGTTACAAGTAATGCATTGGCAGGGCTGTTGTCGTTTGCTAGTGGCTACAGAAGCAAGATGAGGCGAGAAAACAAATATGCTGCATAATAATTTAGAGGCAGCTAACAGAGTGCATGGTAGAGCGCCTCAAGCCCTTTCCTTTAAAAAAAAAAAATGCAAATACCATTTGCCATATTTTTGAATGTCACAATAATCTTTGGCTTTAGCTGTAAAAATTATCCTTTTGATCAACCTGGCTGATCTTTGTGTTATATTTGGCTAGAGAATGTGATATGAAAGATCTGCAGTGAAAATATGAAGGAATAAGATGTCATTGATAATATTTGCTAATTGGGTGTAATATTATTAGAGCAAATTATCTGGATAGCCATTAAACTTTTACAATCGTTGAGCTTTGGTCACTAAGCTATTAAAAGTCTTGGTTTTGGCTACTGAAATGACTAAAATTAAGACTCGAGACCATTCCATTAGATTTAGTCGTTAAATATATCAGATCTGATTGCCTACGTGATTCCCAAGACAAAAGAAAAAGGAAATTTAGAAAGTTCGACATGCATCATCATCTTCTTCTTATTCTATAAACCTAAAGGAGTAACCATGAAACCACAAAATCTACTACTGTTACAACGAGGGAAAAGGAAATGGAAGAAACCAACTTGGTTAAAGGAAGTAGGAGCAAGCTGCAGCCTCTGACTTGCCGCCATCCATAGCCTCCGTCCTCTAGTCCATTCATTGGTCGTGTGCGTCTATCTCGATGGTTTCAACAGTCTTCTTTCTCCTGAAAACATAATCAGCCAAGCAACAATCACAAAAGTAGTAAAAGCTCTTATAAAATGGAGAAAACTCCAACCCAGAACAACCATCATAAACCAGGTACAGGAGAAGAAGAAAAAGCAAGAATTTCTCAAAAATGAAGATGTAACGAAGAAGAAGACTTTATTTACCTCCTCTTGACCCTCAAGAAAATCACACTGAAATATTCATCCAAAATATCCACAAAATTTCACTCTCAATCTCGCTTCACTTTCTAGCTGATGACTTATCCTTGGCCTAATTATAGACGACTGGCCCATCAAATTCCTGTATAAAATTACTACAGAATTCGCTCAAATAAGGTGAAATCCAAACTTCCCATTGATATGGTTGTCAAGTTATTCAAGTTGAAATCAGATTGCAAGACTTTGGAGAGAAGGCAAAAACTGTATTAATCATACGATATTTTTTTGTGGGTAAAGGGTTGTTTGTTGGCCTCTAGGTGTTTTAGGGAAGCATTTGTAAAAAAGAAGGGAAAATTTTGGCGTCGCTGGATTGAGAAGAGGGATAATTGGAAAGAACAGATTGAAATGACAGTAAATTCGATATTTTTATGTGTTGAAATCACGCGAGCATCCAGATCTGACATACTTAACGACTAGATCTAATGGAATGATTTCGAGTCTTAACTTTAGACATTTCAATGGTCAAAACCAAACTTTTAATAGTTTTAATAATCAAAATTGACGATTGCAAAAATTTAGTGGCCATCCGGATAATTTGTTCAAATATTATTATTACGGCCATGATGAAAAAGGGACAAATTAAGTGGTAAAACGTAGCATGCATGGCAAAAGGGATCAAAAGTAGTACAACAAACTGGAAAGTAGACTACTGCTTCTTATTATTCGTCTCAATACAGTATAAGTCGACCATATATACAAGTATTATGCTTTGAACAGATATTCTGTGTGGTTGCTGTCTGATAGATTTCATTTCAGGCGATACCGACAAGATCAGCCTGTATTTGGTGTTTTCTGGAGTGATTGATGAATAGCGACCCAACCCAATTTTTGCGCTTTTCAAATGATGCACACTGACCGCCAGGTCCACTGCATTTCTCCTAGCTAGTAGTAGTAGAGTAAATATTTTTATTACTTGCCGGTATATATTTCAAGTGTCAACAGATCATGCACACAAAAGTAGCATCAGGTGTCTCCATCACCCCCGAGGGGATTAATCCAAATTGATCTTTCTTTCATGGATGCATCTTTGATGAATAGCTGCAACACAACTAAATAGCAAAACCTGCTTTTATAATTTTTTTTAAAAAAAAGGATAATTTCACATACCTCCCCTGAGGTTTCTAACACTTGCACTGACACCCCAAGATTTTAAAAATTTCACTGACCTCTTCTGGCAAAGATTTGGAGCACTTTGCTTATATCATGATAGCTGAAATTAACACTTTGTCCTATGAAATTGGGACTAATAACTAATTTAAAATTGGGGAAAAAATGCATCAAAATTAGTTAATTATATTTAACTAGAATAACATAAATTTGATGTCTAATTAAGCTAATTAAAACTTCCATTATAGAAAGGTACCAATTGAGGAAGAAATTTGGTGTCATTTTTGTGACAGGTATGATTTTACAAAGATGATTGAACAAATTTCTAATATTGTAGCCATGTAACTAGAAGGGAAGAAATAGGGAAGAAAAAGATAAAGAAAAAAAAAAAGAAGAAAATGGAGACAAAGTGAAGATGCTATTCATTTATTAGGAGTAACGGTGATTTAAAGTAGAAATCAAAGTATAAATTTCCTTTTTGTCTTAGCATACTATTGCAAAGTGTTCTTGTGAATTGGTTTCAAGAAAACTAATATTATTATCTACAATACATTATGAATTTCTTTACTTGATCAGTAGATTTTTTAGTTGGTAAAAAACTAAATTCTTGTTCTTCATGTATCCTATTGTTATGTGTAAATTTATATTATGAGAAAGGGATAATAGAAAGATATTAAGAGTTGAAATAAATTTTGGTGTGTTGTTTTAAATCTTACATTAAGTAAAAGTTGTATTTTGTTGTTGAAATATGAGGGTGAATTCCATGATTCTCCTGTATGGTTTGAAGAGGCCATAATTTCTACTAAATGTTTCATTATAAACTCTAAATGCAGCACAAAACAATAACTTTATATGCACCCAAACCCTTGCTGCCTCATAATCACAATCTTGAGGGTGTAGATGCAATTGTGATGTTTATATACACTTCCAGCTGAATTCAAAAACCTGGCAGCTAAAGCTTGCAGGTAGCCATTGCTATGGCTGTTAAAACATTGCTTATTTTCCATGTGATGTTTGAAGTTTTTGAATTATATTGACACTCCCTCAACTTTACTAATCATTTCAACCTTTTGATAACTTGCAATCTTCTACTAATATATGGACCAAGAGGGCAATCATGGAATAAAAATCTCATCTTACTATGAAAATAATCTTTTAATCATATTTGGACTGAATTGTTATCTGAGGGTGGGCCATTTCGGTTCGGCTAGTCGAGGCCCTATCCTGTGCGGTCTCCTGAAACCCCACATCGGCACGTTGAATACCAACACGAATGCAACCTATTTTACCACTTCGGCTAAGAACTTCGGGTCATACGTCGAGGTGACACCAGAATAACAAACAACTATTGAAGGCGGGAAAGGGCGTCTGACACAGGTCATTGGAATGATAAAAAGCTGCTCTGACACCTGCCGTCCGTATCTGACCACTGCCCTTATGCAGCTTCCCACACTGACCAGTTAGATCAACCTGATACGATGTCCTTGTCAAATCTCTGAGGACCTGTTTGACAGTTTCTCTCTCCCAATTGTACCCTATAAATACCCAACACCTCCATTGAGGAGGGGGATGACCAATTTCTGGTAAAACTTTACTAAGTTCATCGTCTACCTTATTGCTTCTTTCAAACCGAACTAACTTAAGTTTCGGAGTTACACCGGGAGATTCAGCCCTTCCGGCAATCTAAGCAGGTGACCTCGTCCTAGGAGCAGTCCCGGATAAAGACGCTTCTCCAGTTCGGAAGACTTGCTTCAGCAAGACGGAAATCACCTCTTCATTATCAAAATCTCAAAAGCAAGGGGTGATTAGTGAAATTTTTAAAACCTTAGGGGTGTCAGTGCAAGTGTCAGAAACTTGAGGGGTGGTTTGTGAAATTGTCCCTTTAAAAAAAAAAAGAACTACGCGCTCACATTTGCCTTCTGGAAAGGCGCAATTTCACTAACACGCACGGAAGTGCCGCCTAAAGAAATTCCTCAAATTATCGCAGAATTCGTAGTAAACATGTTCACGATTTTTTTTTTTTTTTTTTGTAAATCTATCACGGTTTTATCTCCTCGTCTTTATATTTTAGGTATTTTTATCCCCGATTTTTATGTACTTTCATGACTTTTTTAAAATTCTACACGATACAAGCAACAATTCGGAGCATTCCACAAATGTCTGTCACTTTGAGAATTACAATTAATATCTTTGATGCTATCATAATCCATCAACAATTAGTAATACATTCTGCCAAAGTAGGGGGAAAAAAAAAAGTCTTCTGCCCGATGCTTATTAATTTAGGAATGACTAATGAATGACCGACAATTTGGAAATAGGCGGCTGGTAGGAAATGGGTAAGCAACCCGCGAATGGAACGGAACAAAAAGAGCCTTCAACTGGTGTTAGCTCAACTTCCATTCCAATATTCCATGACGTACGCGCAATTCGATTTGTCAAAGCCTGAATCACGTACGCTATTTAAACTTCCATCCGGGCCAAATTAACTCTCAGTGCATTTTGCGATAGCGAAATGGCTAGTGGGAGATCATCTGCAGCAGATCAAGAACGTCGGGAAGGTGCAGAAGTTGTTTATGGAGCTGAAGCATGCTACCAGCACTCCATACAACTCCTTGAAGAATTGGGGTTTCCCAAGGGAGTGCTTCCCCTGCAGAATCTGGAAGAATGTGGAAGGGTTCGGGCGACTGGATTCGTGTGGATGAAGCAGAAAAAGCCGTATCAGCATTTCTTTACTGGAGCAATACCCTCGTAAGCTACGCAACTGAGGTGACTGCCTACGTAGAGAAATTCAAGATGAAAAAGATGACAGGAGTCAAGAGCAAGCAGCTTCTTTTATGGATTCCCATTGCCGAAATGAGCATTGATGATCCGGATCATAAGAAGATTTACTTCAACACTCCCCTGGGAATTGGGAAATTCTTCCCCATCACGGCTTTCATGACCCAAGAGGAGAAGCGCAAGTACTTGGAAAGCACCGGAGAGTAGAATTCATTCAGTAGATGCCGCCAATGATCCAACCAACATATTGCTTATTACTACTATCTCGATAATAATAATATACCGCAATTATTGCTTCTTTTTCCTTTCCTTTTTCTTTCAAAGTAAGTTGTAAGGTGTTATTACTATATGTAAAATCATGTTATGCTTAATTAAAAAAATATTTATTGTTAAATAAAGTTACCGTGTTTAAAATGATGCGGAGAAAAAAGGCGAGGCCGGTACTAGTAGTATTTTAAAGAGTTTTTTTTTTTCTAATTGTGTACAGTACAAGATGGTATAAATTATTTATACTATTTTATAAATATTATGAATATATTTTTTAATCACTTTTTAAATACATAAACTAAATTAACTAGTAGGTAAGAATGCAAGAAGGCGGCTAACTACTTGAACTCAAATAGCACGCATAAAATGCACCGAAATCTAGTCGGCGGAAATAGGAAAGAAATGAGCCAACATCAACCGAAAAAAACATCAACCGAAAAAAGAAGGATGATTCTTTTCTTCAACTTTTACTTTGGGTCCCAACCACTCCTCTCTCCGCAACCCATATACATATCTCCAACTTCCCCATGGCGAGAGCCTATTTTTACATAGGCTCCGCCACTGCCACTTCCACCCCGCTCTCCTCCTCCCCCTTCCGCCACCGTAAACTTCCAGCTCACAACCATCGCTCTTCCCCTCCTCTCCGCTCCTCAACCAACACTACCACCCCGTTGACAATGTCCGACCAACCTACCCTCACCCCTCCCTGGAAGTTATCGGTGGAGCTCGGGACTCATTCCTCCCAGCACTCACAAGCCTTCACACCCCTTATCATCCTTACCCTTTTATCGCTTGGAATAGACACGTGGAGACCATCTTTGCCGCGTTTTTTCGTTCGCTCCCTGATATCAAATTCCGGCGTGAGTGCCTCCGTACAAAGGACAACGGCACCGTTGCACTTGATTGGGTCTCCGGTGACCGAACTCGCTTGTCTGCCGTTGCCCCGTCCTCATTTTGCTGGTAAGCGAGGAGTGCTTCATCCACAGTCCCCCTTTCCTGTCCTGGTTTTGGTTTACAAGTCATTGGTCTGGTTGCGAGCGTTAATTTGGTTAATTGGTTGCAGCCAGGTTTGACAGGAGGGAGTCAGGACTCGTACGTGAGGCATATGTTGGTGAGAGCAAGGAGCAAAGGATGGAGGGTTGTGGTGTTCAATAGCAGAGGATGTGGTAAAAGCCCTGTCACCACTCCTCAGGTACTACTACTGTTCCTCCTCGAGTATCCTACTCAAGTTGCAATCTTTTTTTTAATCACTTTTCCGTTACTTGGTGCTCATCGTTAATGTGAATCAACTTTGAACTTGATCAATTAGTTTTTTGTGCGTATAACAAAGAAGATTTAGCTACAACTATAATAGCCTTTTTTTGGCTTGAATTGGACAAGAGAATTTATGCTGCTTTATTTTGCAAGAATCTTCGAGCTGACTTATTTGCAGTTCTATTCGGCTTCATTTCTTGGAGATATGTCAGAAGTAGTGGCACTTGTCAACAACCGGTATCCGAAAGCCAATGTCTATGCTGTTGGATGGTCTCTTGGCGCCAATATTCTTGTTCGTTATTTGGGTCAGGTATTCCAACTAACTTTTGATATCCTCTCACCCTTTCAGTTTCAAAATTTTTTGTTTCCCTGATCTAAAATAACAATGTGGCGATGCTAATATGTGTTAAAGAGCTTATTAGGCTAGTGAGGTAGATGTTATTTCAGGCAATGAGTACTTCCATCACAAGTTATAGGTTTGCAGGTGTGATTTTCTGTTTTATTTGGGAAGGGTAGGGACACAAGGACTCTCCCATCTCAAGCGCACAAACAGATTTTTTTTTTAATCATAAATGACGAGGTATATGAAGTGCTTTGTATTCACTGGCAATAAATTATAAGTGACTAGTTGTTTGAGAATTTCATGCTTTAACATCTGCAACACTTTGCAGAAGTTTGTGGGAAAATTAAAAAAAGGAAAAAAGAAAATAAAAACTTTCATGAAACAAGAATAGAAGAGAAGCAAGAAGACAAAAGTTCTTTCTTTAGTTGTATATGGGAGGTTAGGAGATTAAAGAAGGTCATATTCATTTTTCTTAATATGACAGCTTAAGCAAAACTAAGAAAAGAAAACCTAATTAGATGGTGTTGTGTTAAACTTAAGTTTTGCTATCTTGCTGCCTTTTGGTGCACCATATTCGATAAAGTTAACTCTTTTGGTTGTTTTAAGTTCCATCAACGAAATTGAGAAGATAAAAGCTCTTGTACTTCAAGTCAACAACATTACCTTGATTATCCATGGCAATATAGTTTGTCTGTGCCATTTTATGGACAAAAGAGTTGGTGATAGATGGGATAATTAGTGTTCAGGAGAAGGATGCTGAACAGCACTAGAAAGGGCAAACATGGCAAAAGTTATTCAAAACTGCACGTTACACAAACCAATAAATGTATCCAAGAGCTAGTTCTATGACACCATGAAAGGGTTGAAAAGACTTTCTTTGTGTTGGATGAGGATGTGTATATCTGTGGTTCTGTTTCCTGAAATAGAATACAAGGGGCCTGCCCATGGAGCATATGATCAAATATATCATGCCAAGTATCATTTCCTCTCGTCACTTTTGACAGTTATTCTTCATGAACGGAAAAAGTTCAACCATGATGACAAGGCAACCGGGACAAGTGCTGTTAGCAGTTTCAAGTTTTCATGTTGTAATACTACAGATGTCATAGTAAAATGTTATTAAATGTCTGTCCAACTAAGAGTCTGGAAGCTTTGTTTCTTCTTTACTGTGTCCATTCATTAGTAACTGATCTATTTTGTTTCTCTATCTCTGTCGAGCTGTGCTTACCTTCCTTGCAATGCAAAAGTCATGACTCTTTCTCAGCAACTAGATTTTACATCTATACTGAAGAAGGCCACTCACCTTTTAGAAATTATTTCTACTATATCTAGATATTGAGATTATTCATACTTGAAAGGGTTGTCAGTTTATATGCAGGAAACTTGTTTGAGGTGTAAATGCTTCATTCACATCCAACTGTAACTTTTGGACATTGCATTAATACAAATGTGGGCTTCTAGCTGACTCATTTCTTTGCAAGAGGAATTGAAATTCATATTCAATAGCTTCTGGCTATCAAATTTTATAAGTCTCAGTTGTAACTTCTTCTATTGCTACAGGAATCTCGATCCTGTGTTCTTTCTGGTGCTGTATCATTATGCAATCCTTTCAACTTGGTCATTGCTGATGAAGATTTCCGTAAGGGCTTTAACATTGTTTATGACAAATCCCTAGCAAATGGTCTCTGCAAAATTTTCACCGAGTAACTCACCAATTCATTAAGTTTCCCCTATTCCTAATTATGTGTAATTTGGTTATAATGCTTTCCCACATTGGTTCAAGGGATATATCCATTGCCTTTGCAGGCATGCTCCTTTGTTTGAAGAGATGGATGGTGAATACAATATCTCAGCAGCTGCCAATGCCAAATCTGTCAGAGAATTTGATGAAGCTCTAACACGAGGTAACTAATACTTGTGCTGGAATAGATTGTTGATATGCATCGTTACTTACTGGCTGCTTCAACTTCTTTTCGTAATACCTGCAGTGTCATTTGGATTCAAGTCAGTGGATGACTATTACTCGAATTCAAGCAGTTCAGATTCCATAAAGAATGTTGCATCCCTTGCTCTGTATTCAGGCAAGAACATTCTGATGATATATCGTATTTTTTCAAAGAAAATCTTTTTGCTCTGTATATCCCAACAATACTGAAGAATGCATGATATGTTTTACAATCCTATCAGTTATGTAGAATAAAACTGCAGTGCGAGGAAGAATACTGTTGATATGCTTCTCTAAGTTTTTTTTGGTAGTTTTGGAACTTACCTAAGGAACTTTATGTGGCGATTCAAAAATTTCTGCTTCCTTTTTCATTTGACTATTCCCCAGTCAACCCTAGGCATCTTCTTATTTTGAAGCACTAAATTGTTGATTTATCTTTTTTTAATGATTGAGGATAAGGAGCATAATGGGTGGAAGAATGATAAAATTGTTGGGTTTTACTACTCCTGTTTGAATTATGTCAGCCAAAAGTAAAGCAGTATTACGAAAATAATTGTTTGTATATGTTGCCTACAGGCTGCAAATGATCCAATTGCTCCTTCTAGAGGAATTCCTCGTGAAGATATTAAGGTATGCACAACTTTTCATGTCTATTGTCAAATGTTGAGTAGAAGTTGGTTAATTTTTTCAATTTATCTGAGAGAAAGTCTCGTGTGCTCATCTAAAAAACAGGATTGACAGATGTTATTTTTCGGCGCTTCTAGTGCTGGCAGTAGACTATTGGTGTCACATTTAGGCAACTATCAAAATGTTGGTAACTCAATATATTGTTTGTGTTAAGGACAATAATTAAAAGAGCGATGCAGTCAATTGGTTCTGTCATCCATGAATATGTATATGGCTGGAACTCAGGAATTGTACATATATATGGATTTTTCCTTTGACTATGTAAAAAAATTTCAATAAAGAAAATCCACCTATACCCTTATATGGCGCACGGTATGATGATGATGATGATTATGAATAGATTGGCTAGCGAAGTATCTTAGACAAACTTTGCTGTTGACACTAGTGCAAAATGGAGAAAACTGAGATATTCGTTACTTGCATACACTGCTGTACTCCTTTCTCTTTTCGTGTTAAATTTGCTCGATATGAGTTCTCGGAGTTATGATGTTTTTCCCTTGAGTTTTTTTATTGTTCCATATCCCACGTGCTGAATCAAAACTGTCATTCTTTCACTTGGCCTACATAGACGTGTTTATGGCTCTGTTGTACTTCATTTATTTTGATGCCAGTTGAAGTTCTCCAGATAATCAGTATTTTGCACTTTTACTTTTTCTCTCAATATCGCCTTCTCACATGACAACAACTTGGCTGATTTCTCTTGTATTGGCCATCTGGTTTTGTTTAACAAATCCTTTGTTCATACCTTCTTATCTCTCCCTCAGATCATTTTGTACAAAAGTTATTAGAGTCTAGCTTGTTTATAGCTGACTAAGTACTTATTTCTGATTTCCATCAAAGAGCTCTAAATACAGCTTAGACGCACTCCTAAACCTTCTGCTCTGGCTTCTGCATTATTTATAGTAGTATGTTTCTCTATTGAGGTGATTGGCATTTTGCCCAAATATAAAAATAATAATAGATGCCTTGGTTTTTTATGCGACTGATAGCCTTTCCATCTCTAAAAGTACTGAAATTTCAGGCTACCATCTTTAAGGGGAAAAGATGATGAAATATATCTTGAGGATGAGTATGTTTTGACGCAGGAATTCAGTAACACTGATCATTGGGACAAAGGGAAAAGGTTGAAAAATCTTTACTGTTTGGTTATTATTGAAGATAGGACCATTTGCATCTATCTCTCTTTCACCTTCTTGAGAAATCTCAAGAGACAAGTTAACAAACCTAAACCCCGGACCAATTGCATCTATCTCACATACTAGTTTTCAGTGTTTTTTTGACTTCTCTTGTACTTTGTGGGACCATCAATATTTTTATCTTATAGGGTCTTATTGACTTTTGAAACATACAAATTGGATAGCGACGAGGGTGCTGACTGTAACCCACTTGGTTTGATTCCTATTCCATTTCTCACTCCTCAGGGGAGTTTGTTGTTTCTTCTCATGGAGTGCCATATGCATTTCATGGATGATGATGCTTTTTATCATTCATTATACTCCATGTAGTGTAATGTGCTCGGACGGTGTTGTCATTTTCCAACGGAGGAGAACCGATAAATGAAATATAGACAGGCATTTGCATTTCCTTGCTGGTTTTTTTTTTTTTTTGGGGGGGTTATGAAAACCATGCATGGTGTTATTAAAAATCCTATGAGCAATTTCGTTTGACCCTGATTGATTGAGTTTGCTCTTCCTCCCAAAGGCAAACTCGAATTGCTTATTAATAGTCACACCCAAAGGCGGTCACCTAGGATGGGTAGCTGGTGGTGAAGCTCCCAGAGGAGCGCCTTGGACTGATCCCCCGGTGATGGAATTTCTTGAACATCTGGAGCGCGCTGCTGCTTGCTCGAGCGTCGTCGGATCGGGTGGCCTGCAACATGTCGAGGCATCCCTTTATTGATCTCTCCTCTCGAGAAAGTACAAAGAACGGGTACGCTACCGTCCAGGACATCCGATCGGTTTCTCACCCATTCATTGTATTGTGTTGGAATCGTTGATTCATTTCATTCATTATATGCATTTATGGATGTTACCTCAAAATGAAGAAAATGTAATGCAGATCATACACACACACACACATATATATATATATATATATATATATATATATATCATTTCCGACGAGTCTATCTATCGCTCGCTGACGTCTGACGTGTGCGCGCGCGTCATGTTGTTTTTTATTTTTTGATTTTTTTATGACAACTGCCAAAACTTGATGAGTAATTGCCATCTATTTTATTCGCTTGAGATCCTCGGTGACATGTTTTATATGTCAATCCAATGCCACCAATAGTGTTGTGCCAAGTGTCTTGTTATTATTTACACATTAATTTTTTAATAATTCAACTTGGCTTGATTTAATACAAGTTTAAATAATAACATGACACTTGGCGCAACACTATTGATGACATTGGATTGACATAGAAAACATGTCACCGAGAATTCCAAGTGGATAAAATGTCACCGAGGATTCCAAGTGTATTTTATCCGCCTCTTCACTCTTCAAAATGATGACAATCTCTTCAAAATGATGACAATCTGGCACCCGCGCGTGCGTGTCTCTGACCACTCAGCAGGGTAGATTTGATAATTTTCCATCCTATCTTAATAGTAATAATAACAAGAACAAAAGGGATGGGAAATAGGTTCGAAACAGCATTAACGTTTGGAGATTCTTTTGGTACTCCGTGCGGCAAAACCTTGAATGGTGCTGTTACCGTGGCTGCCAAAACTGGAACCAGGCACGTATCAGCATCACTATCCATATGATATCCATCCATATGAATGGTGGAGATTTCAAACTTGGACGATTTATTGCATGTGGCCCGATATCCCAGCCAAGTTCCCTTCCCTGGGGTTCCGGCTCATGATGTTCTTCCATCCGAAGACTGAACAACAACCATCCATGAGCAGGGCTCCTTGCAATTTGGAGGAATGCTGGTCTCAGTTGACTTTGTGTTGTTGTCGTTGAGTCCTGATCGTTGCCGGCTCTTGCAGTACTCCTAGTACGTGTTTAAAGCATGGCAATCCAACGCAGCATAACCCTTACCCTTATCTTAGCCAAAACTTGCGTGCGTGCCTGTGGTCCGAATGTTGCAAGTTCCCAGCAGAGATGCCTTTGTCCTCCCAAGTTTTCTTGACATCAATCTTATCCCTTTTTTTTTTTTTTTTTTTGGTGTGGAAGCTGAGTAGTCCAACCGTGAAAAGTTTTTTCCGCCGTTGAAAAGTCCAACCACACTGTTGGAGCAATAATAATTTAGATACTCCCTCCGTCCCGTTTTGTTAGTCTTGGTTTTTTTTTCACACAGATTAAGAAAGTGTAATTAATTTGGTTGGAAACATAAATTTAGATTAATAATTTCCTAAAATACCCTTATGCTAATCAATGTAGTCAATGTATTCAATGTATTGGAAAAGTTCAATGTATTCAATGTAATGGGTTAGTATTTAATAACAATGTATTAATAACAAGATATATTTAATAAGGGTATTTTAGATAATTTGAAAGATTACTACATTTCTTAATGGGAAAGTGGACTACAATTTGGGACGGACGAAAAAGGAAAACAAAACTAATAAAGTGGGACGGAGGGAGTACCAAATAAGCAGCAAGCAGTAATACTACAAAATATCCCTATGAAGCAGCAGCACAGGTTATCTTCGAGTGTTTGGCGCTCAGATAATCAATCACGTGGAAAACAAATCCTACAAACCTAACAAACATAACATGTGACCTGAAAATGTTTCTTTATCTGAAGAAATCATCATTTCTAAAGGAATGCCATTGAAGATGAGGATGGGACCGACACTGACAAGCTCCCCGTTCCAAATTCTGCGAGTAGGAAGAAATACAAAAGACGCACGATGCCGTCTGGATTCATGTGGTGGGACAAGCACCATACGTTCATACGAACAAATTTACTGTACTACCCTTCTGGCGTACCACACACGCACACCATCTCTCTCTCTCTCTCTCTAAAGGCTTAGGCATATAATACTCCTATATCGTACGGCATGATGTGACTGTGAATCGTCTCAGAACCACATCCGCATCATCCTAAACAGTACACCAAAGATGATCATGATTTTTTTTTATTAACAAATTTTATTTCATAGTAGTATAAGTTGGCCCTTTCTAAATACAAATACAAATAGAAAAGGCGTCTGATACAGTAGTAGCAGTATTAAGTTTTTTTTTTTTCCTAATCTTTAATAAAAATTATTGTCAATGTTGGGTCTCTTTGTAAGAAATACTGCCCCTGCTATAATTCTGTCCTGACCCTGATAGCGAGCTTCGGATCTCCGCATGCAGAACGAGAAATGTGTGTCTAGAAGGGCAATGATACAAAATCGGTCGCTCCCGTCTCTGATCTAACAAATGTGATTTCTCATAATTTTTTCATAAAAAAAGTCGATATTTTTTTTCTTTCGAAAGGAAAGTATAACGACAGATTGTGTGACCATAAAGCATTGATTAAACTTTTAGATCATGCAGTGCATTAATTCCTCAACAGCGTCGTCATCGGTGAATGAAGATATATATACTCCCTCCGTCCCGTTTACCTAATCTTGATTTTTTTTTTCACACAGATTAAGAAAGTGTAATTAATTTGGTTGGAAACATAAATTTAGATTAATAATTTCCTAAAATACCCTTATGCTAATAACGAAGAGTGCATTGGAAAAGTTCAATGTATTCAATGTAATGGGTTAGTATTTAATAACAATGTATTAATAACAAGATATTTAATAAGGGTATTGTAGACAATTTGAAAGATCATTACATTTCTTAATGGGAAAGTGGACTACAATTTGGGACAGACCAAAAAGGAAAATAAGACTATCAAAGTGGGACGGAGGGAGTATATAATTGCCTAATGCTAAATGGGAGACTACTGAATATCCCAAGAAGGAAATGTTCCGTTTTAGTGAGATTGAAAAATATCTTTAGAATAAGGAAAAAAATATTTAGTGAGATAGCACAAATGCTGGAAAGGTCCCAAATGGAAAAGAATAGTACTACTGACATTTAATTCCTCAACTTGGGACTCCCCAAACACTTGGATTGCAGGTGTACGTAGCTGTGCAAAGGTTTTTCTTCTTTCTTAATTCATAAAACTAACAAGCAATTTCCTGAAGTAGGAAGATCAAATTAGTAGGAATGGAGGGCGGAAGCTTTTTCCTTGGCTACCGTACGCAAACAAAGCAAGCAGCATTGAAACCTGAAAGTGAGCCTAATCCCGCCGTTGGTCACAAAAGCCAAAAAAAAAAAAAAAAAAAAGACTTTGTTCCTCCCTCTTCAAGTCAAATGAAAAAAAAAAAAAAAAAGAAGCTTAGCAGACCTGAAATATACGACCAGATTCACTGAACCAGTCCTGCTATGGTAATTACAATTAGTACACAGTATTTTCCAACTCGAAGGAGGCAATACTCCTCCAGGCTCGATACCAATACCGTCACAAAAACCCCTCCAATTCATTAAAATACTACTCTTTTAACTTCTATCGTAGGAGTAGTCCTATCCTATTTTCTTATATCTGGCTCAGCCTTCCTCCTCTCTAGTCTCTCTGTACATCGTATCTATAAATTAACAACGCAGCAGCTGAGCCGAAAATTCGTCCTCGCCTCTTCCTTCTCAAATTCCTCTTCCAAATTTATCCTCTACTTTTCCCCTTCGCTATCAATTAGTACCAATTGCTAATATTCATTAAATTAGTAAAATTTGAACCAAAAAAAAAAGAAAAAGGAACTTGTTGTGCAATCGCTCGCCTCGCGACAAATGGCCGAAACTGGGATCAATCGCAACAGCGTAGTCACGCCAACCAGAAAAAGGTCCGGCTCCGACGAGAATTGGGACCGCGATGACTTGGTTGTGGCCAAGAAACAAATGAAGCCCCTCACCCTCTGGCCCGATCAGATTCAGGACCCCGCCTCCGCTCTGGCCAATGCCCGTCACGAGTTCGGCGAGCATGGCGGCGTTAACATGTCCATCGAGGCCTCCGCCACCTTCACCGTCATGGAGCCCGAGACCATGCGCCGGATGTTCTCCGGCGAGCTCGGCCCCGACCGTGACTTCTTCATCTACAGCCGCCACTTCAACCCGACGGTGCTCAACCTGAGCCGCCAGATGGCCGCCCTGGAGGGAACGGAGGCAGCCTACTGCACGGCGTCGGGATGTCGGCCATCTCGTCCGTGCTGCTGCAACTGTGCAGCTCCGGGGGGCACGTGGTGGCCTCCAGGACCCTCTACGGGGCACCTACGCCCTGCTGTCCCATTTCATGCCGAGGGCGTGCAACATCACGACGTCGTTCGTGGACATCAGGGACCACCTGGCGGTGAAGGAAGCCATTGTGGAGGGGAGGACCAAGGTGCTGTACTTTGAGTCGATCTCGAACCCCGCGCTGAAGGTGGCGAACGTGCCGGAGCTGTGCCGGATAGCGCATGACAAGGGGGTGACGGTGGTGGTGGACAACACTTTCGCACCCATGGTAATGTCGCCCGGGAGGTTGGGTGCTGATGTGGTGGTTCACAGTATCTCCAAGTTCATAAGTGGCGGCGCCGACATCATTGCAGGTACATCACTATGCTTTTGTTGTTTCGTTTCTTGTGAATCATCCTCGTCTTCCCTCTTACTCATAGGACCGTTTTGTAACCGACCAACCTAGTAGTAGTAGTAGTACGGCTGTCCGTCTGGGAATCTTCGTCGGTGTTGTGTTCCAGGCTTCTTCTAGCCCTCTAGCTGTCTTCTGGCCTTCTAGTTCTATTTTGGGTAAAACCTGAAAGGGGCTGCTGCTGTTAAAGTGTTTAACGCCACAGTCTAATTTTTAATTTCAGGGTCATTTTTGCACAAAAGCAACTTTTGGTGTCATGGGGGCTTTTAAGTTCCACTGAATTTTATTTTATTTTTTTTCACTTTAAAAAAGAAGAAGAAGAAGAAGAAGAAGATAAGAACAGATTTCTCCGATTCCCCACCGCGGGAATCCTCTGTTAGTAATTCGATGTCTGCACATTAGCCAAAAATTCATGACGTCAAAAGAGGCGAGATTCTT